TCGAAGACTTCCAGCAACCTTGTAAGTAGTTTCCTTTATTAAAAAAGAACCTTGCTTCATTATTTTCTCGCCTTCCGCCCTCTAAAGCCCCATTATTCCCGTTGTAGATTCGACTTACGATTTCAGTTGAGTTATAACAATTCGGAGAATTTACAGAGGTAAAGAAAAGGCAACCTTGATAGAAGTTACAAAGGTAATATTTGCCTGTCATCAAAATAAGAAGGCGGATCCGCACGTGATGCTCACACGAATGACGACAAATCACACATATTTTGTGTTGAAATTCGTGAATTTATATGCAGTGAACGGTAGAACTAATAAGGAGGAATTGTCTGTTTCACGCTAGCTGAAGAGCTGCTTCCAATTTAACCCGAATTTGGAGCACATCCTTTACGATCGCATGATTGTGTCACGTGAAAGCTTTGACCTTGTCGCCGCCAGCCGAATTCCGAGGTCACATTGGCCTTAGTTATAGGATGATTGGCTCTGACGTTCTCAAAGCTATCTCTCTGACTCATGTTCTCCTTTTTAGGGTCTTCAAATTATATATCCGCCGACACCATATCAGACCCGTGTCATTGTACTCTATGTATTCTTATTTATGGGGGGCGTATTTACCAGGCTTAAGTCAGAAGTAGGCAAAGACAGTGAAAATGAGCTGTGATCCTTTGAAGGTTGGAAATTCATCGCCGTAGATGACACCAACCTAGCCATCAAGCCTGCTTGAAGAACACCACGGACAACTTTGTAAGTGTTACTGTCAGTATCGTGTACTGTGGTTTTTGGTAACATAAAGCGATCTCGGTGTGAATGGAAAATTTATTTCCTGCTCAATCTGTGGCATCCACACATGTGACACAAAGTGTTCTCATAGCTGATCGCTCTCATAACCTCACCGTGATTTACCGTTTCTTTCAGAAACAGAAATTTGACACTTTCGAAACCAAATTGTAGTTTGTATTTAAAACCATAAGGTAGCGTTGATAGTATCTGCCTCCTCCTCGCTTATTTTTCCACATTCTTCACTGCTCTCAGCTGTTCGGTCGGAAACGTTACGCGTGATCATGAGTGTACTACTTCGGGAACCCTTCTTTCGTCGCGTGTTTGCCATCCAGTTTACTCGGGTACGTCCAGCCCCCTTGCTTCATATCCTTTTCCCTAAAAAAATGAATATGACGAAAAGTTTCTTGAAGACTTCTTACGAGCGATTAGTCGTTTGTTTAGTATATTTCAAAGGCAATGAGTTGCTTACTTTTATGGTACTCCCGTAAGGACAGAATGCAAACTCGTTTGCCTTTACACTGAGAAGACCATTAGTGTAAACTAGGCCTTTCGGGCGTTTACTTTCTAACGCGTCGTATAATCCACTTACACTGAAGAAAGTTGTTGTGATAGAAGGTTTTGGTCGAGCAACTTTTAAACTTGGTCTTTCCTGTATCGAATAAAGTAGTGTTTAGAAGTTCAGCATACATCAGTAGTCATACAGTGGTCCCGTAAAACGGAAAAGCTGATTCACCAACAATCACATTACAAAACAGGTATATTTGGACGATTGTGGTGAAAAAGAAACACTTCCCGTCAGGATCGAATTACAAAACAGGTATATCTGGACGATTGTGTTGAAAAAGAAACACTTCCCGTCAGGATCGAGATATAGGGTGCCTTGGTGATGGACATTTCGACTACAGCTTACTGGTCACTCTTGTGATGTTACATCTGACGAGTAAATGACCGGACAAGGCTCGCGAAAGTTCAGGAGGTCGAGTTACATGGGACGGTTGGCCTAAGTGATGGTAAACCACGTGATAATGACACGCGAATAAAAATCGATCGGACTGGTCGACAGTTAACTAAATGTAAGAGGGGTGCCTACAAAGTGCAGTGAAGCTGTAATGCTACAAAATTATGTGACAATATAAAATGAACTGTTCTGACCTGGGAGGCTGGTGCAATATTTATTCACATGATTCTTTCATGCATAATAAAGGGGGTTAAAACGACGTATCGCCATGAATCCTGCAACAGACTTTTGAATCAATCATCGGGTCAACAGCAAGACCATAATGCAAAATATCTGTGGCTATGGCAGAGTGATAACTCCAGGATTTAGATTTCTGGACTTGTTTTGATAATTGCTCCTTGATTCTGGTCCTAAAGTGCCCGAGTATTTTGCCAGTATATGTGATCCTGTGAATACGAGCACCACGGAACGATGTCTTCGTTTCAGTAATATTTGGAAAATAATCAGAGATGGTTATGCCAAGTGGTGATTGACGTCTTTCATCCCATTTCACGTGACAGAAGATCATCGATTCCTCCACTCTTGATCGATAATGCACCGTGTTTCATAACACCCTTGTTTGATCCTCTTTTCATCCGCATTCCTAAGGTTATGGTCTGCTTCATAGGGTTACCGTTGCATCAAACCTACCTTTGATTAACAGAGTAATTGCTTTGTATCATGTATCATGTTCCATGCTTTTTACTCCTCGGTGCTATCTTATTATGTATCTTTTTGTGCCAGGGTTACAAAGTGTAAAGTTTTGTCGCTCGCTTTGTGTACTTGAATTAGTTATCCTCCTCTGGTAGGCCAAGTGAAAGTGGCTTCTAAAGGTTACGTGTTCTGAGGGATTTAAAGTCCTCAATAATTTCCTATAGGCCTCTTAAGAGTGCTTCAGGTAGGGGGTTGAAGTTACCATCGTAGCTCGATTTCTTAAGAGGTTACAGTTATGCAAATTCTTCCCTCAGTTACATACTTATGCTACCCCCCGTGGCGGAAGTGCTTATTTTTTGCGACGTGTGATACCGACCTCAGGTTACTATACTGTTCCCCGTCACTCCGTTTTTACTTCCACGTTCTACAGTCATACGCCAAGCTGTTACAACAATATGTCTACGATGACCATACGGAAACGGACAACCTGCTCGCCCTTAGTTGTCAGGTGTTCACTGTAATCAGTCTGGTAAGTCCGTCATGTGACGACTGTTTTTCTGGTGTGTAGATACCTATTGATCTCAGTTCTGTTCCCCAATCAGCTTCAATCAGTTGCTTGTCTTTTATGGGTTGACTTTAACACGGATCACATCATAGCTTTGCCACTAGCGCCAGATGGATAAGCCTCCATGAACGAGTTTGAAGTACTTTCCGATTTTCAAGACGACTAGTTTACTTCTAGGACGAAACACCATAGTGTCAACACTTGGTGTTTTCCAAAGGTTTGCCAGTTAATAGTTCTGCAGACACTGTTCAACGTCACCAGCAATGATGGTGCCTAGAGTATAACAGCCGTTGCTGAGTCACTTGGAATTTTCTGCTGCGACAAACTCTACAATTGCGTAACTTGAGGAAAATTGTCAAACATGGTAAGGTGGCACCTTTTTGTAATGTGCGTGACAACCGAATATGTGAACATTTTACATTTACACACGTGGGTCATCTGTATCTACATTCGTAAGATTCAAGATCCAATGAAATGTACTGTAGTGAACCTCGGCTTTCTCTCTTAAACGTCGGCCTATTTCAGTTCAACTAGTACTCGATCACAGACGAAGCCCAATTTTGGCTAAACGAGAATGTTAAGGTAAACAGGTTGATATAAAGAGTAGGAAGTGATCAGTTTCTGCAGTTTTTATTGGTCCAGCAGAGGTCTGAGCTGACTTATTCATAAGTCACAATGTGAGCCGAACGGTGAGTAACATGCAGACAGAATATTCCTTCTAATTGGGTTTAGCCTGGTAACATCTCGGGTATCGTTCATTAAATGTGCTCATAGGGTGTCACTTATTCAGGGCCTAGTTTAAAGCTTGTGAGGTTCTCTAGAGCGCTTTTTCTGTACTTGCCAATTAGTGGATTTGAAAGAACTCATTTGAGCACACCTTGGGTGAAAACGTCCGTAAACCGTATTCCGGTTAGCCAAGTGCAGGAGACGTCCCAGTTGGTTTGTATCTAGGCCCTACTGGAGGACGTATCCCGTCAAGTAGTCAGTTTGCTACTACTGAACGTGTTTTTAGTTAGTGGATGGCAGTCCATTTGCCGAATATCGTATCCTGAAAGAGCGGAACGGAAATTTAACCTCGGTGACAACATTTTGTGAAGGGACGTTTGGGAGCATCAGGGTGGATTTCCTGACGGCTTTTGCAGGCCCTTTCCAGAAATTCACATGAAAGCACACCAATCACGTTCACAACTGAAACTAACAGACAATTTATACGGTTACTTTTTGGCCTCGCCGTCGACAGTTTTGTGTTTTGAAATTTACCGTAGGTTTTTGTGTCACAACCACTGCCTAACATTTGCGTGCGCTTTCAGCCGAGACCATACGACTACTCCATTTTAACATCCATTCTTAGGGTTGACCTGAGTACTCCATGTGACATTGCACCGTATGTGTTCATTTTTTCCGCTAGGCACGACAACTTCTGGAGCACAACAGCGTGTTGGTCCGTGTCATATCAAGACTTGAGGCTGCCTTCGACACCAATTCAGATGTACTACCGGACTTCTACGTCCAGCCCAGTGGACAGAGTACAGCTTCCGATGCGAATGGAGAAAATCCAGGAACTCCACAAAGCAATGCAACAAGTTCAGACTCCTCTTGTTTCCAATTCCTCATTGACACACTACGACGCGCGAACCCATTTGAATGGGGCTCTTCTCAAACCTTACAGTCAGCCTCCCCATCTGATTCTGCATCTATGGACAGCGATAATTGCGAGCTTGGGCGGGTACCTCCAGAGCCGCGTGTGCTGGTCTGGCATCCTGGTTCGACGTTGAATCGTTCCAGGTTTCATCCCTTTGAGCGCCTTTTTGAGGTGTTGCGTTGCACTTCATATGTTCTTGGTAGTCTGACCAATGTTCGACCACTTTGTGGAAACCCTCCCCAGTCACCAGGGTGGTGGAATCCCGCCGGGCGGGGCAACTTCATCGAGTATATCCGTTCATTCCTCCGTCTACTGGGATTCGTCCAAGTGAGTTATTTATCGAGCACAGGAGGAGGGTGAATCCACAGTTAGACATCCACTGTATGGAATCGTCAGTTTGATTAACGTAGGATGGAAATTCAACGAAGCTACGGTGACATGAAGAGTAAACGAGAAATTCACGAGTAGTGCACAAACATGAAACGTCTTTGGAGTTTGGATAGATAGATAATGTTTAACTGGAAAAGGAAATGGTCGAGGAGAACCGCATAATCAGGTAGTCCAGAAAAAGGAAGGGGTACTGTTTACGTAATTAATATCGATGAGTAGAGTAGGGTAGGCTAGTCTGCCACCTGAACGATTGTAAGGGCTAGGCGGATGAAGTGGGTTCATCGGTATTGGTATATTAACATAGCCCCGGTCATTGAGAGTGGAGTAAAAGTAAGCTAGTTTGTTTCGGTTATGGCGCCCTTTAGGTGCGCCACTGTCACGGAAACTAATAGTCTTCCACATGAACAAAGCCTTAACAGGAATGATCCAGTAGCCCCGGACGGTGTGTGAATCACAAACGTTCCGGTCGACAGCTTGCGCCCTAACCACCTATCTGTCTCAGGATGGTTGAGAGCCAATGCACTTTGAATTTCGAGCACTGATCCATACGAACAGATTGATTTCACCAGCTCAGCTGTCGCGGCCGAGCAGCTTCTCCTGGGAACCATCTGATGCACCTCAATATCATCATACTATTTTCAGTTAGTATTCGAACACTGCAATGTCCCATTGTCATGCCGTTAGCAGTTGCCGTGTTTTGCCAATATTAGGCCCTTGCTTACTGTTTCATGCAGTGACAGACCGATCCAAATTACGTTGGTATCATAGTTGAATCTGCGAAACGTTCCTTATTCAGGATGCTGTTTGGTTTTTCTACCGCCTACCGAGACTTACGTGGTGGAAAAATTTATCGATCGCATACACTAGCTTGTTCCGAAGCTTCAGATTTATGAATACTCTTAGTCACTAAAATACTCTGCGTGCGTAATGCGCACATTTATTTTTCTGCTTCAGTGTGTGGCTGTTAGAAAATCTGCTCGCTTTTTCGTTTTTTTTTTGCTTCATATTTTTTCGATTATTCGTCATGCGTGATATTTTCACATCAACGTATCATTAACACCGTAAAATACAACTTGTATCACTATACCGGCAACGCAGCCTCCCTATATGGTACTGAGAGTTAATCAACGAAACTGCGCGAAGGGTGCGAAGAAATGTAATGAAGCTGATAAAATGTCTAGTGCTTGTGCAATCCTTGTTACTGTGTAAGCTCGAGATTTCTCATGCCAATTCGAAACTACTCTGAAGCACTCAGTTGACGAAGGTTTAGGTAGCTCTGGAAACACATCCTTACTTCGTAATTTTTAAAATTACTGTTTTTTCACACATCAAGATACTCTGCGATTGGCCTAGCTCCCATCAGAGCATTGCTTGAAATGAGAGGGTTGATAAAGCGGTGTATGACAAGAAAAGATTGTAGAGAGAGGTTTGATGTGGATGTTTTTGGCGTTGAACGTATTCGTAGGTACACATGTTTGCTTTCGAACAAAGATATCCCGGGCTTAGTTTTTCGGATTGCTCCGCTGTCCGCACACGATCGTTGTCAGTTTGGTGTGTGAAGACGTTATTCAACGAATGGTGGGAAAAATCCTGTTCCATATGGCGAAGTACACTCATCTGCAAACAAATTTGGTTTTTGTGAGTGAGTCACCTAGAACGTAGCTGAATCTCTCGTTTGTGATGTCCCATATGGTTCATGAACTCTATTGATGACATCAGTGCCGGCCGACACAATACGACTGTTACTATGGTTCGTCAGTCACGGAAAACAACTAGGGGGGGGGTGTACTTTAGGCCAACCCTTTAACTAAGAAATACAGTATATCAATTGATAAACTCATCACAATGACCCTCAGGGTTACTCTACTGGGAACAGAATTTGGAATAAACACCTTTTCCGTCAAGTAAATAGCACTTGTTTTCAAACGAATCCGAGTAGCCGAGTGGTTATTATCGTGGATTGCCATTCGTTGAATCAGATTTCACTCCCCGTTAATACCTCTACGTTGGCAGCTGACCTTTGTCTTCGCGCTCTTTACACACGTTCGAATCATCCAAACCCCTCGACTATGAGACAGCCTTTGCATCATGCACTCGAGTGGTGAATATCAAGAGAAGAGATCAGTCCCCAATATCGCTTCACGTTTGAAGCAGCCACGCGTCCAAATTGCTGCTTAATTGGTTCAGTATACCGATGGGTATGAGGTTAAGGAAAATCGTTTGTGACATTGAGGGACTCACCTAGAACGTAGCTGAATCTCTCGTTTGTGATGTCCCATATGGTTCATGAACTCTATTGATGACATCAGTGCCGGCCGACACAATACGACTGTTACTATGGTTCGTCAGTCACGGAAAACAACTAGGGGGGGGGGTTACTTTAGGCCAACCCTTTAACTAAGAAATACAGTATATCAATTGATAAACTCATCACAATGACCCTCAGGGTTACTCTACTGGGAACAGAATTTGGAATAAACACCTTTTCCGTCAAGTAAATAGCACTTGTTTTCAAACGAATCCGAGTAGCCGAGTGGTTATTATCGTGGATTGCCATTCGTTGAATCAGATTTCACTCCCCGTTAATACCTCTACGTTGGCAGCTGACCTTTGTCTTCGCGCTCTTTACACACGTTCGAATCATCCAAACCCCTCGACTATGAGACAGCCTTTGCATCATGCACTCGAGTGGTGAATATCAAGAGAAGAGATCAGTCCCCAATATCGCTTCACGTTTGAAGCAGCCACGCGTCCAAATTGCTGCTTAATTGGTTCAGTATACCGATGGGTATGAGGTTAAGGAAAATCGTTTGTGACATCAAAATAAAACAAAATCGTTGACGGGATATCAACGATTTCTAGTCAGTCTTCCTCTATCAGTAAAAATTATGTTAGATCGAACATGAATCGGTGGACTGTCCCAAGCAACTTATTAATTACGTTTGATCTGTGAATGGTTGATGTATCATTCATTGTGTTGTACATGGAATGGGAGAGCGATAAACAGATGGTCCATCAGCCTGATTCTCAGGTTCAGTGGTTAGGCTTTAGCGCAGTTATTTCCTCATTTCTCGCTTGTGTTTATCTAGTCTTGGTATGATTGGTTCACAAGGCACATTGTATTTAACGGCGGAACGTAGACAAACGAATCATCAAGCTCAAGTCAGACATCCTTGACTGCCCCTCCGTTTCAAACCATTTCGATAACCATTTTCATTTGTAATTGTCGTTTGTAGCAAACTTTAGGATATCAGCGCAGACTCGTACAGTGTGTTTCACACGTGAATGCAATGCTTCAATGATAGTAATATAATAAAAATCGTTGAGCTGCATAATTCTTCCGGTGCCTAGCTGTCATACTACCCGAAGGAAGCACGAGGGCTGAGATGCTCCGAAGTTGCTAAAGCCTACACAGGAGTAGCCGAGAAGCAGAGGCGAGTTCGAACCACAGACCTTCCTATCAATAAATTCAATCCTTAACCATTGGGCCATATCCAGCTGTTATTTTTCAACAAACTCTCAAACAGGCTTCATTGTTCTTCAGGGTTCGGATTAAATGTGAACCCTTTTTGACTGGAGGAATTATGGTCGGCACTTGTATTAGAAATTACCGAACATGAATGAGTTGGATGCATCCAGAACATACACGTAGTTTTTTCTTGGCTTCCGAAGCACCACAATTTTCTATTCCTGCTGATTATTGGCACGTGTTTCTCTTCATCCATAACATTGAAATAACTAGCCCCCCTCTGTCCTGTTTCTTGTGATAGGATATGAACGGTATGCAACGCGAGACGCGTGGACATGTGGAGGAAGAACTGGAGTGGGCCAGTGGATTCTACATAATCGCTGAGTTGATCAGTGTTTTAGGACTGACTGCGCAGGTCGCCAGTTCGGACTATACCTTGTTCAAATCCGTATTGAGTGAAGCTCGTCAAGTATGTAATGACTGGCATTTGTCCCTATCTTTTGCCGTTATTTTCACCAAAAATCAGGTTTCCCTGTCGAGAATTTCCACCCAGAACTAATCGGTTATTCAGGATACCGATTCTGTATCACACTAATGACCGTATTCATTACAGAGAGCCACGTATTAATCCGTGGTCCATGCTATATTCTGTGTCTTAATCAACACTTTGTGCCGGGGGATTGTGCGTTTCGTTTTAAGACCGTCAGTTTATTTTGACATTCTCCCACGCAACCGGCGACAACTTTTGAAATAACATGATGAGCCTTTCCCCAGATACTGTCGAAACGATGTGAAGTGACTGAACGTTTCCTGAAGTCCATATCTTTGTCCTTGGATGTGAACATCCTATTCTTCGGGTCTTTCGGAATTCGTCTCCAAACTCGTTACTTCTTCCCACCCGCTACACCATCACTGTTCTCTGGCAACTGAGTGCTGATAGGTCGCCGATAAGGATGACATCGACTCTTCATTCTACTGAGTAATTTTCCATGACTAGAACTCCCATGTTCACCCAACATCGATCGAACCCTGTCAGTTAGTTGGTGAAGAGATGAGAAAAACACATCGGTATTTTGACTGAAACCAACACTTGACAGCGAGGGTGCCTGACGTATGGTTAGAAAGAATCCTTTCGGAGCTGATCCATCACCGCGTCTCCATTAATTGACTCCTGCCTTTGACCCTGATCAGTCGTGTTTTTTGTGCCTCATTTAGCCGTTTTGCTTGATTTGGCTAATCCATAACGTACAACGATTTCCTATTTCCCCTGTATTCGTTTGGACGAAAGAGTGGTTACTCCAACTGATGGATACCACTCTGAAGTTCTAGTGTGGTTTGAATATTACCATGACCCAACAGGCTACACTGGCTAGTCTCTGAAAGACTAAAGGGAAGCAGTTAGCCTTCGCTCGACGAGAAATCGCTTTTTGGAGTAGTCTAAAAGTGTGATGAGAGTTGGAAGACTGAAGGATGCCTTCACAAGGCTACCAATGGTTCGGTGTTCGCGGAATTGGTGTTGCTGGCTCTCTCCGCTGAAGAACATTCGAAAAGGCTGATCCAAGGCATGCACACCATAGTCGTCCAATATTGACCATCGTTATTCTTCGGTATATTCTTCATGGGTCCGAGATTTCATGGGGATTCTAAGATGTTTTCAACTCGCCTATTGTTTACAAGGACATGGGGAACCAGAATCTTTTGACGTACATCCTGCCCTCCTTGGGACTAAACAGTCCTCTCGCTGCCATTTTGGTTAGGCTGTTGTATTCTTTCCTTCCTTTAAGATTCTTTAATAAACGCCTCAACGTGGTCAGACTATTTACTCCACATAATACGTGTTTTTATTTCGCCTGTTTAGCTGAGAATTACCATTGGTCCTTGCAGCTCGTCGTTCACCTATCTCCACTTCATATCCTTCAAGTTAGCGTGTATGGTTCAAGTTGCTCCAAAGACTGGACCTGTTGTACGCTCTTTTAGCATTCACAAAACACTGGTGCATATGTAACAAATTTCCTTGTAGCTATTTATCATTGTGTTCTACTTATATTTCGAAAGGTATTCCATTCGTATTTCAGGCTTTCGAATATCGCATCGGAATATTGGATCGTCGCTTCCGCCTCGAACCTCTGTCGTCCTCAAACGATGACAAAGCGGCCGTCGGGTCCGATCGCCGTCCATCAAACGACTTGGCCTTCCGGTCACTCGGAGTTTCGACCGAGGTTTACGCCTATGATGTGGCCACCTATCGATTCAGCTTCATGCAACCTTTACCACGTTTCCTTGCTAGTCTTTATGGTCACGGCTTGGAAATGGGCTTTTCGTTTGAAGATTTGGGTTTGGGGGACAAGGTAATTTCGTACTACGTAGCATCAGAACTAGCGCGGTGTTTTAATTCATCTTTACTTTTTATACTGTGTGGACCTTTAAACCGATGTGTTGGTTGAAAACAGCGATTTAACTTTATCGGCCTAGGTGAATATTCGAAGTGACGTTTTCAGGACGCAGAGTGTTGTGAATGAGCGATTGTCAGTCCTCATTCAAGAATTTACTTGTACAGCGGAGTTGCAAACTTGTACTGGGTCAACTGGATCACATGTCTTCCCACTTGTTGCAATTAACTCGGAGGGGTTACTTATCACTAATATATCTTCCTAGTCTAGATTGATGAAAGATTCCAAGGTTCGAGGCGGTCTAGAGTCAATATAGCGAAAAACAGATATAGTAATCGCATGCGCATCATCGCCTGGGGCTAACAGACAACTTGAAGAGCAAAAACGTGCAAGCAAGAGATGGTTCAAGTAACTACCCTTCTTCTGTAGACGGACATCTGAGTGGACCGATCAAAATTGTTTTTGCGCATTCGTCGGTTCTAGCAGGGAATTCACCATGAATAGCCACTTCGAGTCACCCAATATGGTCGATTGTTCGTTGGATTGTTTCGCTCATACAGTGTATGGCTCCCGTCCTCATAAATGTTCTTGATGTATCTGACTGTTCCTTACGAGCACCAAGGGTTTCTGAATGCTCTTAGGTTGTAGGGTGATTCCCATAAAAGCACACAAGAGGTCACGGTGATCACTAGTTTGAACAGTCCTCGTATCTTGGCACACTAAGGGGGGAAACAGCGAACTTGAGTTTTCCTCTTATTAAGGCTCATCAGCATCACATATGCTTTGCCGTGTTGAGATTTGAACTCCGGAGATCTGACATGCGAGACTGGCGTTTTACCACTACTCCAACAGCGCGCGCTGGTCGCACCTACGTCGTCACGTCTGTACGGGCAACTGCGTTCACGCTTGAGCGATGTGCTTAGTTGGCCCGACGACTCAGTGACTGTCCTTGTTGTGTCGGTCGATTGATCTGCCTGTCAGAACATTTCAGTTACTCTTTATGCGTCCATAGCGCGGCGGACGATAATGAATGAAAGATCACCAAAAATCGGTTTACCTTTAGAAGGAAGCCCTGAAAAACCCTCTGGAAATTCATGCTGTAGATTGGAAAAACCGCTCTCAAGTTGACTGGTGCAATGTTTGCTTACATCAACTAGTTATCAGTACCACCCCGTGTATTACCGTCAATAATGTTGCGGATACCCGACTTTTCCTCACGTTCAGGCATTCGTGAACCTACTGATCGAACGACCTCTGCAAGCGCTGGCCTTCTACGCACAGTATAACGCAAAAATGTGGGTCCGCAACGGCTATGCCGTACCACAGTCGGTAAGTTTTGCGTACTTCTTTCCGTGACACTTGTTCTTCGATGATTGGCCAGCACATCACTGCTTGCTTCTGAACAGAAGATTACGTTCGGGTTAGCACTAAGATTTTGTTGAATCCATAATTAGGAAAAGAATATATGTGGGGATATCGAATTTCAGTGATATCAGTCTCGTAGGTTGCCAGAGCTATCGATGGAGGCCAGTTCAGTTTACCCAGGCCAGGGTAGCTGGTCTGAAAGTTTAGGAGAGGAGATCAAGGAACACGCTGGGTTTACTTATGGCTTCAGCTCTTACACACTTCTTTCATCACTGGAAGGAAGCTCTGTGTGTGATAGACATTTGGTCCAGTCCAACATACACTTTCACGAATTTTTACCCATCACTGACATTTCTGACATAGGGAACCTTCGATTCAGTGAGAAGCTTTTATGGACCCTCTTGGTTTATCGTCTGTCCAAGTTGGTTAGATTGTCACTTCTAATCATATTTGGCAAAAAGGAATGCCTGTTGATTTTGTCAACGTTGTCACTGCACTTGTAGTTCCTGCTACTTTAAGGCCTACGGCGAATTATAGCCAAGCCTACCGGAACAATTTGGTTTCGCATTCTCATAGCTGTCCTCACGCATAAAAATTGCTCATGGTGCATCTACTGTTTAATAGAATGGCTGTAATTTTTCATCGAAGAAGCTCGTTCATTACACCCTTGATTTGACCATCCTATTCCCTCTCCTTACCGTTTCGGATTTGTGTCACCAGAATGATTGCTTTCGCAGTTGGAAGCTAGTCGAGTTCAGCTCATCCGAGGGATGTTTAATCCTAGTAACACTTCTATACATCGTCCGAGAATTCCTTGGATAACGCCACACACACTTGGCACCTACACAAAGCCCTGTGGCTGAAAAAAACTTTTACATTAGTGAGGTATTTTACAGCGGTATTTTACAGTGAGGTATTTTACAGCGGTCACAGTTTTCTTCCCCACTAATTGCTCGGTTTGACTACTTTGTCCTGGATGTTGTATTCTACCATGTGGTACCAGAGGCGTGCCTTGACACAAATTTCAGTTTGTGTATTGCGGCATGTGTTGAGCGTGCCAAGTGAACAGTTCTGTCGGCGCAGTGTTTCAGCAACTACTCATCGGTGGAAACTTATATCTGTTACGGAAACTGCGGTTGATAGTGCAAAGACCACGAGGTTATCTGGCTTGTAGCATTCTCCAAAATGGTGTGCTTTTACAAACCGTGCGTCCTACCGAGACCACTGTTACTTTCGTGTGGTGTTACTTTCGCGTAATGAGCAGCGTTCGTTTTCCTCGGGTATGTACCATGTGCCGCTTTTGCTGCATGCACTTTGTGCATTCACGTCAATCTGGTTTGGACAGTCCCCCTCATGTCCTGGTTCATCTTTTCAGAGTGGTCCACGCCAAAGATGGAGGGATTTTGCTGAGAAGGGTTACATGTGGTCGCTCGTTTTCATTGCCAGTGTTGCTGTATGACCATCGCATTAACAGCAACTTTTCGTAACACAAGTTTCTTCACCTGGATAAGGTTACAGTGCTTTAAATGTATTTGCGGAACGTTTTAGTCTTCTTCATTTTCCAACCCGGAGTTGCCTGTGATCAATCCACCTGCCTTTACATTCAAGGTGTTGCCAACGCTTTAAAGCAAACGACAAGGACGGTCTAGCTACCTGTAGATTAGCTAGTTCAGGCTTCCTACTCCGAAATAACACGTTATCTCACCACCTAGCCCGTTTTTTCTAATTATATTCTTTACACACACGCTCTTCTAGGTCAACAACATGTTCACCTCGAACTGGCGTGTGGAGCTGATCGATAGGGATTTGCAACTGCTTCAGATAGCGGCAGCCATTCTTCCTCCAGACGAATTCCTCGCTCGATTCATTCACAAGATGCAACTAAAGGGTTACTTGAAAAGGTTGGTTGTCTTTTTCGGTGACAAGTTTGCCGTTTTACGAGACTATTTGACTATTATGTCCTCCCATTTCCTTTATGGAGCATTCAGCTACTATTCCCGGGGTTTGTTCGTGGTACTTTAACTTGAGTGCTGTCAAGAGATGGTGTCTTGATATACAGCTCTCGGTGTCTACGGAGTGTGGGCATATTCTGTGGTTGTCATCAACCTGTCTTACTCCATCACCGGCCGTGTTTTCATCTCCCACTGTTCGCCCTGTTCTTTTGTCATCCAGCGGGTTACTGCGGAAAATAAGTCGTATGAGTTACATCAACTTTGGGAATGCACCAGACTCGGCGAGTTCTTGCCCAGCCGTAAGCTTCTCCATTCATTCGAAGGCACAAATCAAGCTGAGTACCTTGGTTCTTTATGCACCAATCACGGGTACCAGGTTTCTAGCAGCGCCAAAAATAGTTGTGTAACTGGGAATAAACACGGTCATTGGTTTGTTCGCTGAGGTGCCTTCGTGACTTCGTCTAATCGAAGTGACTTCGTCAGTGTTTTGTTACGTTGCGTAATAGAGCGTAGTGATGCGTTTTCAGTTGTGCGTGGGTGGCATTGTGTGTGTGCTAATATACGTGCCGCTAGCCGGGGCTGACCTTCGATCACGATTGGCTGTTCCATTGGTTCCATTGGTTGGTCCGTTTTCTTGTGCCCTGATTGGTCGATGACTACGTAACCCTTGAACTTGGCCTCCCCCGCGGTCGTGTATTGGTCAGTACTGAAGTGACTCGGTCTTTAACCTCTCTAGTTTCCAGTGTGTCATCTTTCTTGATCTGATTCCAAAGAGCTTCTTGGTTTGTTAATCCAAATTAACATTACACACGTCACATGTGTCTTCCTCTTGGAAATTGCCGGTAGAGGAAAACGTCAGCACCAGATCACGTGACACGGAGTGCATGCTTGAAGGATGAGAGGTGCTTTATCCTGTAAGCTACGCGTACCGCTGCCCTATTGAAATTCTCATACGCAAGCTCATGGGCTTATTGAAGGATACTTCTTAACCGTGCGAGTCTTGTAATACTGTCGACATTACCGCGTAGTTGTTAAAATATGGGATTCGTACAATCGAATCTGGCCTTAGTATACATGTGCTTGTGTCCGGAGGCCAGCCGTCTCTAATAACCGGAAATCACATCATGTGGATGGGTGTGTCGCGTGCAGGAAACGGATCAAACGAAGGCATGCCCTGATTGGTGAGAATGCCACCCAATCCGGATTAAACATCTTTGGCTCGACGCTCCTCGCCCCCTCACGGAGATTCCAGCGCGACCTTGTGGAACACCCTGTGATTACCCTATAAATACAGTTCTAATAATTCTCCCTTGTCTCCATAAAAGGCTGTGTAGAGCTACTGTGCCTTTTGATGTACCATAGTGGGCGGAGCATGAAGCCAATGGACCGATACAGAGTTGCACTGCCGTTTAACAGGATACTTGCCTACACACTTACACTGTTCACCTCTGGTAACTTAATAATTTTAAACCCAAGGACGTTTTAAGCGGAAAGGTTACCACGTGTATGATTGCGATATCTTCGTCTCGTGTGCTTCTGGGGTTAGCATCTTCTTGAACAGAAAAATCTGCATTGACAGTGACTGTTCACTGCCACAACTGTCCGCAGACTGCTCTACTGTAAGGGTACACGAACTGGTGCAATCAATCGTCCTAGTCAAGGCCTGTGACTCAAAAACCCGACTGTTAGGCACCGGGTGGGTGTACGCATACTGCCAGGGGGGGTATAATTTTTAAGGAACAGTTCCAAGCACAAGCATGGCAACGTCTGTGAAGGAGTCTCACAAGCGGAAAGTTGATAGGTGTCTGTTCATCGTGTCTGCCTACGACCCAACCGACTCCAACGCCATCAAATACAGGATTTATGACGCCCTGAATGCCCTGTTGCGTTGAGCTAAAAGCTCAGATATCATGGGGGTTGCGTGAGATATGAATGCACAAGTGGGCAGGCTTGGTGTATCTGAGACTCAATTAAGAGGCCGACATGGATTGGACTCGGTACGTACGGACAATGGGGAACGATTGTTTCACTAAACACCCCAATTACAATCTAGTGAGAGATACTGGAAGTTGTGAAGTGTTTTACGTATCTTGGAAGTTGTATTTGTTCCAACTGTAGTGTGACAGATGAGGCGAATGCAGTAATCTGCAAGGCCCGGGTCGCGTTTACTAATTTGAGGCACTTAGAGTGTCAAAGGGACGTGTGTATTAAGCTACAGTGGTAGCTTTTTTGCTGTATTCCTGAGAGACTTTGCCTGTTCGAGCAGCTGAACCGAGACATCTTCAGGTGTTCGACAATCGTTGTCTCAGAACCGTAGCTCGTGTGGGTTGGTGTCGGCGTATCTGTAACGAGGCAGTTAGAAAGCGAGCTCTCGGTTGTGCAACGGGTACTTCAATTGAAGAATGTGTCCAGCACAAAAAACTGCGCTTGTCGGGACATGTGTTGCGCATGCCTAGCCATCGTTTGCGCAATTCAGAGTGGCACATGCAGGGAGATGACCTGCAAGAGGGGTATGAAGGGGAGTACGAAACATCTGGGTGCTGCTTGTTCCTGTTCGACATCCGGGATGGGGACCGCGTGATCCACACTTCGTCTGGTTGGAGACACTACAAGGTATGGCTGCCAACCGATACCAGTTGCGTTCTCGTTGTCAGTTTCTATCCAGATTGCCTGAGTGAATGTCTGGAGGTGTAGGCACCTCGGAATGATTGTAATAAGGTAGCACTGAGTCCCTTCCCGTCCATCTTTATTCTTTTCTTTGCAATAAGGCTTTCAAGTAAATCATGGTTGTACGGCAGTGAGGCATCGGTGTTGAACACTGATGTCATGCTGTCGATGATGATGATCCGGCCACGTGCTTCGTAAGCATATGTTTTTGTTCGCAAAATATAGTTTCCATCAGCGCATGTGTTACTTTTAAAAAGAACGATAAATAGGACATCTAGCTGGTGTTAAAAGCGTTTAAAGTCGATTGAATTACTAAGCCTTTGTTGATATATTTTCACGGTACTTAGTCTCACGGCCAAGTTAAAATTTCGAAAAAGGTACTACTTAGGGTGTCTGGATCGAGCTGTCGCTGTATTGATCGACCAGTGAAAGTGAGCCGCATTCCATAAATTTATTTGTATGGTGTGGACAAGTCTGGACGCATGTTTCGGGTTAGTCATATGATCTGCATCGAGTAGTGGTATCAGCCCACCCTAGTCCGGTCACCTCTTTGGTAGCCTAGTCTGTTCTGCTTCACAACAGCATGTAAATCGGTGCAAATCATGCTGCCATTTCGCGCCATATTCGGTGATGCACCGATGCCCATGGTCATCGGCTAGGCGAACAGAGCGCACGGTTTTTAAGGCCAATCCGTTCTTCCCCGAGAAAATAGGGATCCTGGTCGCTAGGGGGACTCGTCCAACTATCACAACGAACATACGGTTTTACTCCCGACCGCCTCGTCATTCGATTTATCCTAGTACTATTACCCACTAGTCTTCGTTGGACAGAATCGCATTGGTCTTTCTGGCATGGTGGGACCTTAACTAACTAAATTCTCACCAGTAAAGCCCGCCGGTTCATTACAACACGGAGACCCCACTACCCAGATGAGGTGGCCCTTATACGTCGGTATATATATACGGAGAAAATGCTTTTTATACAAAACGTCAGGTTCTTAAGTTATTCTGTCTTGAGTGTACTAATCGTTGTTAGAGCTAGTTTGTCGCGCGATTCGACTTCTCAGTTAGCGTTGTCCTCTAGTGTGTTGTTTAACCAAATCGGTTGCGCATCGGTTAGTAGATGCTCACTGGGACATATATTTTGTCATCACACTTTGGATAACCAAGGCGATGAGTGAACCTGTAGTGGTTCTGGAGGTCACCTAGGTGAACGTTGTGATGTAAACCGTCGTCGCGGCACACGTTTCCTTGACGGAATGGTATCGCCATGGGTGATGTGTGTTGGGCATCTTCTCACAAGAGTAAACTGCACACACACGCTTGTCTGTACGAAAGCTAGGTACATTGTGTTTACCATATGAAAATGGTATAGCTCTGCGGTTTTATGATTGATTGGGTAGTTCGGCAGTCCTGGATAACGTTGAGTGTATGTGCTCTGGACTGGTCAGTTCGAATCAAACATTCGTGGAGGATTTGACGCGATTCCTGATATAAATGTATCGCAAGGTAGGCCGGGCTGAAGTTTACATTCGCCCCATTTTTATTTCTGGCTTTTGATATGACAGTCAACATTTTCAGGAACCTTTTGTATCCAAATACTAATAAGAAGGAAGCCACAAACCACGATAGGTTTGTTCTGAGGATCACTGACCCAAGTTGCTTAGCGCAGAGTTCGCTAAAACTAGTCATTGCTTCGTCGATTGTGACGGAGAATGAATGGGCTGATGAGTGGCTCACAAGTACATCGATTTCGGCTTCTGCGTCGAATGCTGTACAAGAGTGCATGAAATCCTCTCCGCGCTTATCATCAGAGCAACCGACAATCTCACCACTGTCGTCCCAAAACCTTTATTGTCCGAATTCTCAAGTTGCCTTTTGGGTGGAAACTCGCATCGTCCAGGTCTTATCCATGTTGGCTCTGGCGTAATATCTATCCTGTGTTCTAAGCTTGCTCGTCAAACTGTCGTGGCTTACTCTTAACCACACGTACTTCATTCTTTTTGCTCTGCTGTTTGATTTAGGCTTTCTTTTGAGACATTAAATGAACTTCTCCGATTCTCCACTTAATCTCCAGCCAGGCACCTGGCGAACCGGGTCCAGGTCGTGTACAGGCCGTGGAGGTGATGCTACGCACTCTACTTACCCTGGTTACCGAGCGATCTCGTCCGAGTGTGGGCTGTTTCTCTCTGGACTACATAGAAAAAGCCTATGGCACTAGTACTTCCATAAAGGATTGTGTTGTCGATACGGACTTGGAACTCTATCACGCTCCGGTTATTGATTCCGTGATTCACACCCTCTGTTTGCGACCAATGATCTGCAGCGAACTACTATCACACTTACCGTATCAACCTGTGGGTAGCTTACTGCGTGCACCCTTGGGCTCTGCGATCTGCGCAACATCCTCCTCGCATTCTACCTCGAGCGATAATGTTCGTCCGGCTTCGATGTCTCGAAAGGCAAACAAGCAAGCTGTCGAGGAAATTTTACCTCAAATTCTACGTCAACTAGCCACTCAGTCTCACGTAAATGGTCGCGTGGTGTTCACTATCAAACCCCAAGTCATCGCTTCTAGATTTAACCGTTTCTATTCGGGCTACCGCCATGCTGAACAGACCGCGGTACGTATAATTGCCTGACAGAATTTTTGCATTTATTTACGATGGAACGCGTGTCTACATTTTTTGGACTGTATCATATCGACACCTCTGTTATTCACTTCTTACCAGAAAGAATTTTTCTTTTGTGATCGTATTTTAGTTGACTTTTCCAAGAGATTGTTCTGCTTCTCGCTTATTTGTACCGTGTGCCCAGCTGGAGCATATCCACCTAGGTGCTCTGCGTACTGTTTTTGTTGACTACCACAGGCCTAGCTCGTCTCAGCTCACATATGCAGTAACGTATTGTTTCATTTAACCATGAAGTTTTAACTTTTCGATAATTTTCAACCATCGAATCAACTATGACCACGAGTGCATTTAATTCTCTTTCTGTCTGCTCCCATTGTTAAAAAAATGTCGGTCTACGCCTCCACTCGTTGACGAAAATAACGCTGGCTTGTTGTTTAATCCTTGTGGGAGCCTAAGCTGGAGCTTCGTAAACAGCATACAGTTGAAGTACGCGGCATAACTTGACGTATGTCCGGTCTGTGTCCGTTGACTTTGCACAGTCAGGCAGCGGTGAAATTGAAGAGAAGTGTTGAGAAGCACGACCGTCTTAGTCCGAGGATAGTCTCATCCATTTAATCCAGCGCAGCTGATTTATATGCTCACCGTTTCCTATTTGGAACCGTTGACTAAGTAATGGCGCTTGTTCCCCCGTACATCATCCTTTCCTATTGCTAAGACAAGGCGATCAATTGGGCTCCGTCATCGATGATTTTATGGTGATATGCCTGTTAAAATCATTTCAGTGAAAACCAATCCCTTCGCCAAGACACTTACCCCCTTCTGCATAATCAGACGATTGGAAGGTGAAATGTGCCCAGTGGAATTGGCTTGCTAACTGTAGGTGGTATTCTTGTGTCCTCTCGGGTAGATCGCTGTTTTAGTTGTGTCACTCATTGCGTCGTTTGACAACAAGGTAGGTAATATCCCAGATCCAGGAATTAGTCATATCGTTTGACGTTTGTACTGCGCATGTTGTCTGAGCGATTCTTCAGTTACGTACCTAAGCATGAAACATGTGCATCATAACAGCATTCATTGCTTGTTGACGATCAGGTTGTTTTGGTCGAGGTGTTGCGTCTGAAACATCTCATTCTTCTGCATCTTCGTACCAACACACCTGTTCTTTCCAATCTCTCTCTTATGCCCTTCCAACTTTGCCATTCCCGTAGGCTGAGACCTATGTGTCAAAATCATTGAAGATTTGGCTTCAGTCCGCCAGCAGGCCCCCGAACGATCCGAACTTTCCAGAGAACCTTCCCATTCCCCCTCCGAGTCCACGCCCATTACGCACTTTCCTACCTCACATGGCTCCCGGCATATTGGGTCTGGTTCGGTGCGAGACATTTGTGCGCCTGCTCCGCACCCTATTGAATATCACACTGGCTCATGGAACTAGCACTGTATGGTGGTCAGACACTTTGTTGGATCTGATTCTGCACTTGATTTCTGTGGCACTGTACGAGGATGAATACGAATATAGGTGAGTATTGTTCACTCAGAATTCTCCAAGTCATGTCGTGATCGATCCGTCCTCATGGTGGTTGTTCCGTCCTACAGCAAAACCGGTTGTTTTCCCTTCTTGGACGCTGTTTCTCGCGTTCCTTCGCATTGGGAATCCGAGGAAGAGTTAGAACAGCTGGCACGCAGTCGTCACTGGTTGAATGCCCCAGCTTCCAATCCTTCGACAGACTATCCGGAGCAGTGAGTCTCCTTATTTTTTCTCCGTATACGAATGATCGGAAAATGTGTTGAGGAACGAACGTTCTTGCCAATTCGTTCTGCAACCACATTGTATAAAATTCATTTGACATCTGACATGGTATATATTCTTGGTGTATTCTTGTCACCCCCTTTTTTTAATCACGCAGTCCGCCTTTCCCGTCCATCTTCCTTTGAACGCTCCACAGTGACTTAGTAGTCTTCAAGTCTAACAAGTCATTTCACGTTGCAAATTTTGCTAACCTGAACCTCACTCCCTCAGTTTTGCGGTTCATTGCTTGCCAGAAACTGTTTGACTCAATGTCTGGTGAAGTTACTTCAAAGTGGACGTCATGAGGAACAGGTGGAATTGATTCAGTGAGTTTTTTCATTCTAAATCACCTATTCAAGCTGTCAAACCAATTGATCCCTTCAATACTCTTAAATTCTGTAAATCAAACTTCATGTAACGTGGTTCGTTTCTCTATCTGTATCCAGATGGACTTTAAATCACTGGAATAAGGTCGTCCAGTTGCGTCGACAGGCACATGCAACCAGTACCCAGTCAGTTGCTCCTGGCGAAGCACCAGAAACTTTGCCGTTGGTGAGTCACTGACATGCTGTTTTGCTTGTTCGCTTTGCTTCTGTTTAGAAACATCGCGTCATTGTCTTTGTGTTCTTTCCAGACACCTGCTCTCTCCTCCGTTGCTGCGATTCGTCAGACACGTGCGGAACTCGCAAAGGCACGCCGTGCCAGAATCATGGCTCATATGTCCAATATGCAACAAACATTTATGAGTGCTTATAACAAACCCACCGATGAAAACTCACAGGTACGTTCACGTTTAACCGCATAGGTTTACGGCGCATACATGTGCGGTAATTCTTAAGGTCTTTGTGGTGGGATCAAATAGTCGCAACTCAGAGGTGTCCGCACATCCCTCGTTGGCGCCTCCCATCCACGTTTTGAACAAAGTCCTTGCCCGTGTTTCTTGACGCTTTGTTTCTAATATGTGCTCATTGATTCCCGCCAATACTGTTACTTATCTAATGACCATCAACAGGTCCTAAATGCCGAATAGTATTAAAAGATGCCCAAAGTACTCCCTGCTATATGTCCGAGGATCCACTTAACCTGGGAATGTAGTCTCCGCCTTTTCCTTGATGTGACATTACGTGTTAGGTTGATGAGAACTCTTGGACACCACTCCTGCTTTCGCCCTCTTGTTTACCTTACAGTCTATCTCTTCCCATATTGTCTGTTAGATTAATTTGATGAGATAACGCGGAAATGGATGTGTAGCAGGTTCACAAGGTGCTTACAGTCTTACGAACAAAATGACAAATATGCGTAACAATACAACGATGGTTTGACATTCAGTGAGTACATTCGGGGAGACGCTGAGCCTTACAAGTAACATATTTGCAGGTGTAGTCTAGCTGCTTATCTCTCTCTCCTTTGTGTCCACCTTTTCGTTTTTCCACTGTTGTGGAGTACGCACAGAAGAGATCAGTTAGCTGGATCTGATAGTACATACAGTTGTCTCTAGTGTGGACGAATGAGGAATTTTCTAAAGGTTGAATGGATTGTGCCGACCTTATAGTCTGGTGTAATTTAGTCTGATTGTTCCTCGGTTGATCAACTCGCGACGGTTCTCAGGGTGATGCCGTTTCAATGACGCAATTGTCGCTTTTCCTGACATGCATTTTCCGTTTTCAGAACGAACCCATGGATGTAGATGCAGACACGGAAACTCTTACTGCCGACGTGGAGTCTCTGATGCCAACGGCAGACTCTCTAGAGATACAACCAGCTTTGGGACCAAAACGTCTGATTTCCTCTCTGACACCTGCAGAAGGGGTTGGAACGACAATAACCTGCAATCTTTGTTTGGTAAGTTCTTCGGCATGTTTGTCGACCAGACCTATTTTACTTTGCAAAGCTACGAACTGGTTTGCTCATGACTATCTGATAATTAGGCTGCTTGACCTAGCAAGCTGGGACTCCACATTGTGACCAGTTTGTCAACCTCGCACACTCGAGTCAACAGAATCTTCCAGAGGAACAATGCTCGGAATCACGCATGCTGTGTTCCAGTAAGTTTGAGCAGTGATGCGAAGTCATCTGAGCGATAGACGTGGGTAAGTGGCAAACCGGAGTAACATTGTGTGCACATCGGAAGTCCTATTGCAGTTGCAGTTTTCAAAATCTGTCCATGTGTGCTGGGAATCAGGCGGAGCTCCAGTCACCAGAGTTACTAGCCTGTCTCCTCGGTGTTTTTATGATCTTGCTTGTTAGTCGACCTTAGGGTTCGATCATCTTGGTAGTCAAGAGGGAAGGACAGTAGGACTGGAAGTGAAGTTCTGAGTGAATAGAAAGCGACCTGAGTTCGCGTTGCCTAATCGGAGGTGACACGTCGCCAGTGGCGCGAATTGTCTATCTGTAGGCAGCATACATTTAGAATAGACGATCAGCCGTGTTTTGTTCGCTTCAGGATGGCATGGGAGTCTGCATAATGTGCTGTTGGAACCAGCTGCCGCCTGAGATACTGTAAGAAACGTCATATTCGTGCGTCTTTAGTCGCATGTAGTTTCGTAATTGTGATCCTTTATCACCAGCTGTTCAAACACGACTCTAGCAAAAACGTCAATTAAGGGGACAGATTCCCAATTCATCATGTGACAACATCATGTCTACAATTCGTATCTTTCGAAGAACTACTCTCCTGGTTCAGCCGGAAGTGACCCACGAATCTCAATGTAACCCACATATCAGGCGTCTATTGGTAACTGTGGGATGACATGAGACTTACTTTCCGTGACAGAAGGGTAGCGACCTCAGGCGACTTGCATTCTACACTTCTGAAGATTGAGGGTAATTGTACTGTCTGAGAGTGAGTAAATATCTCATACGCCATGAAGTACTTTTTCGGAAATGATGCGAGAATATTGTATATAGACCATCGCCTGCGTGCCATGTCGTCTTACTTACTCTGTGATTAATTATCAACCGCATATAGCTTTTGGGTCAGTGTCCCTTAGAACTGCTTGGATAAAGAGTTCAAACTGTTGGATCTTGAGCTCGATTTACGTAAAGTATAAAACGAATAATTGTCTTATAACCTTATTCTAGCTAATCTTTGTTTCTGTTAGCTATCACTAACGGCTAATCTCGACCTAATCTCTGAAAATGAATTTAATCTCGATTGCGGGGTTTCGTGAATATCGTCTACACGAAGATGAATTACTTGATATCTTCCCAATCTCCTTGTTACAGGAAGAAGTGCCTGCAAACGCCTCCAGCCGCATGGTGATTGCTGCTCATGTTTGTCGAACTTCAATTTTATCCTCCCAAAACTCCGGTTGGTTGGAAGGTCCCAGCACGTCAGAGATTGTCAAGCGGCTGTCCAATCTGCAAAACGAGTCATTTCCGAAGGATAATATCCAACTCGATCCCTCGTTCCAGAGTTCTGAAATTCGGGATTATACCGGCGGAAAATCTTCCGGCCCAGTAAGTTTCTTTTTGTTGTTCTCGGTTACTCAAACTACTGCGCAGGCGATACGGATACTCGGATTGTAGCCCAATAACTGGACCAAGTCCACGGTATTTAGTCTGAACACCGCCACCAGCTGGAATGCGTTTTTACTCTTCAGCCTTCAAACCGGGAATTACTTTCCTTGTCTGGTAGGATCTTATGTTATGATCTGTTTCCATTCAATCACCAAGTACGGCTTGGAATATGGGGACTCCTAGACGACAGTGAGGAGACGGTGCGATATGTTACAAGGATTCATAATGCATAGATAGCCCTTATTCAAACTCTTGCTAAAAAGCTCGGACGAATGACGGAGGCACTTCCTCCAATAATCTGTTATCCAAACCGAAGGGCCACCTACGGAGCCTTTCCGGCCGTATAATGCTATAGCTTCAGGAGAGAGTCGTCTGAAATTCTTGATGAGTTAATTAGTGCAAGACGTTTGTCATCTGTTGTGCTCCGTAGGGTCCGATCAAGTAACATCAAACCTGAAGACCCTAACCTGGCTTAACCTAACTGTATTCTGTGGCACAAACTACCGGCGACCAACTCCGACTGCCTGTTAAGTACCATTCATTGGGTCATTGATCAGACACAGGGTTGTATCTTTGTGGAGTGAAGGAGACTCGAGTTGCAATAAATACCTAGTGGAGCCAGAATTGTCGATTCCGGCGGTAATGGTTTAACACTGGACTATTGGCTGCATATTCGCTTGTACACCTGTTTTAGCCCTTCAGAAAAAAACCATCTGAACGGTATCTTGGGATATTTCGACTGCCAGCGAAGGACATAACGAAGTGGTTTCATTTTGTGATCGCTGCTGCAAAAGTTACCCCTTTTCTTTCCAGCTGGATGCTTTCCTTGCCTCTGTTTCCACTACGGCCGCAGCTGCTCGTGCGGGCACTCCACACGGTGGATTAACCCTGCTGTCGGAATTATCTTGCGGTGCTCCGTCATCTGAAACGGCATCGAATGCTGATCAACGGGAAGGTACTTCAAATGCAGAACCGTTCCCGGTTGACAGTGAGTATCGCCCTCTAGCTATATGTTTGACTTGTCCGGGTGTGTCCATTATCTCATAGACTTTCTAACCGCACTTTTTCATTTTAAAATCTCTTTCAGTGTGCAATTTAGCTACTTTGGAACAAATCGTCCGTGGCAAATTTGACAGTTCCGCCAAACGTCCTTTGGACCCTTGGCACCCGCGACCACTTGTCGCTAGTCGTGACCCTATAGGTGAAGAAGGTTCGTTCATTTCTTGTTGTTCACACCCGATGCACGCGGCGTGCAAGTCCAAATATGCGCGGCAGTTGAAAGCGCGTGTGGATCATATGAATCGGTGAGTTGTTTTGGTTCGGTCAGGGAGCCATCTGATCCGATACTGGAGTTTTTTCAGCTTCGGTAGCTCTTTCCTCAGAGTAAGAATGCAAGTCTCCGATTTTCCGTAGCTGACTTATGAAAGATCTACCGCTCCGGAGCGTTATTGGTCCTTTCAGTCGGACCATGCTTATCATTTGGTATTGACGGCCTATATGTCCTCTTCTGAGGTCCTGATTCGGATTTACCACCAATGCCAGTTTGATTATACGGCTGAGTTCTGGCCTTCCTGTTTCGCTTTCATCATCTGAATACAATTGGATTGTCTGCTTCCCTGCTGGAACAGCTTTAAGTTAGCGGTTTATGCTAAGTGTGGCACTTATGTGTGTGTTTCGGTTGTCTTTCCTCCGTAACCAAGCTGTTTCCCCTGAACCACATCTGACAATTCTGCACTACCTATCCGAACCGATGTTCCCACCGAACCTAAGAAGTGACTCAAACACCAAACATCAATCATTTGTGTTCACCGTCTCTCCTGTACAGTTTTCGATCTACCTAAGTATTGAGTGCACTCAAGACCTAGTTACACCAGCACCGTACATTCAGATGCTTATGAACCCTATCTAAAAGTCGGAAGTGAAAGTAGGGTGTTTTGTCCGTTTGACGGCAAAACTAGAAGGCACTAAGTGGTGGACTACGGTCGTTCGTAAAGTAAGTTCGTGGTTATGCTATTCTTCAGCTGAACGAGCTGCTCAAAGACCGCCTCATGTTTCAGTCGGTTGGATGTGCGCGTCGTCCAGCTATTTCTCCGTGATGTTGCGCTTCTCACAATGTAGCTGAAAGCGCTTCGAGCGCCCAGTACAGGTTCCGCAATTGAATTATACCATAAACCCGGTAATTTGCAAATAGATATTTTCCCCACTTGCGTACAATTTAGTACTCTAGTATAACATAACTTTGGTGGTCGCTCGGGGGTCACGCTCCAAAGATGGTAGGACCGGTTATGGGTTATCAGAGAATTTTCGGTAACCTCTCACGTAATATTTAATATCGAGAACTAGTTGCGAGTAAGCATAATGACGGGAGCTTAGGTAGTGCGAATGCTCATTGGTTTGTTATCTGAGCTGGGCCGTTTGATTGCAAACGTTTCGCCACCAATCGAAGGGACATCAACCATGCGCTGTTAGTTGAGTGGATTGGAGCTAAGCGGTGGTTGGATGCAACCACCGACCCAAGTTTAGTTGGAAAATGCCATATTACCCACTCCTAGTGGCGTAAGTTGTTTCGCTAGATTCACTTCACTTCCCTTTTTGAGTTGCCCTCGCCGAGGATAAGATTTTGGTAACCCTGGACGTTCCTACTGAGGGATGGTATGCCCGTCAGCTGATCAAGTTGGTTACCACCCTCTTATGCCATTTGCACCTCATTTTTGAAACTCTCGGTGTGTATAGTGTAATCAAGGAAATAAATCCCCTTGAAGACTTACACTTTCTGCTAAGCCCACGACGAAGAATCGACTTGCAAATGCTTTACTATTCCTGCTTGTGATCTGTTGCATAGTTGATAGAATATAGCCGATCAGTTGTAACACCCTTTCGGTGCACAGCTTCCATACCACTCGAAAGAGGCGCGAGGACGACACAATGCTACGTTGTCCAATTCTAAGCACGGGCAGTCGAAATGCTGAGGTTGGGTTCGAATCACGGACATTCCGATCAGTAGGTTCGCTCCCTGACCGCTAATCTATCTGCACTTTGTTGGATGGCTCAACTTCACCTCTAATTAAGTGTGTTTCGTTTGAGTAGACATTTAAACACCCTATGCGTACGCCATGTTTTCCCTAACCTGTCACGATACGGACAAGGTCGAAGGGAACGAAATAAAGTGCTATATGATTGTGTGTATGAATGCATGATTTGGGCTGTCCTCGTAAAAGCAGTCCTTTACCGTTAAAGTGGAATAATCTATCGTATCCGGCAACAACCAGCAGGGCAGGAATGTGTATTCTCAATAGTGATTTGGAGATAATATAAGCGTATTTTGGTCCAGCAACAAGCACCCGATCGAAGAGTCTCACGGTGCCTTTGAGGTGCTCAGACCTGAGTCTACCCGACCTAATCACTATCAAGCCATGTGCATGGTTTTTCTTACAAGCGGTGGTTGTAAAACAGATATGGTTAGGTCCATAGAGACCGTCTATCGTCCGTTTCACTTTGACGCGCACTGCTCAGACAGATGTGTCAAGTTTCAGTCATCTCCAATTCAGGTCCATTGTTCTCACACTCAACCTGGGACTTGGTCGTTCAATCCGAACATGGGGTTGAACCCTGATACACTTGATTTTTTCCAATCAGGACTGGATTGCTTTCCTGAGACCAACCACTTCTGCTTTTTAAGCACTCGGCATCCGCAGAAAATTAGCCGTAAAGTTTGCCACAGCTGATGACACAGTCTGACCCTAAATCTGCTCCCTCCCCCGTCCTAAGACGAATGTAACTTTCAGTGAGCATGTCCTCCCATCTTGCCAGTCTCAATTAAATTCGCGTTCCATTTATTAGAAATTTATTTGATGTTTCATGTTTTCTGCCTCAGGTGTTTTCTCTGTTGTAACACAGTCCTTGTGTTTCGTACTTTCATAAACCTATCCTGGCTTCTGTGTGAAATCCTGTTTATTGCTTCCTGACTACGGTTGCATCTTCATTTCTCTTGTGCTGAATGCATTTTAAAGATACGAAGACCATGGGTAGGTCGCCGCCGATGTCCGAAAATCCACATAACATTTGTCCAATCTTTGAGTAGGATCTACTGAGATAAGCGGATCCTTTCTCTACCTGTCACTGGTGCCTAGATACCGGAAGGTGATCAGTGTTCGGTACTTTTATAAACAAGGTTTTTCGAAATCTTCATTGTGTATCTCCCATGCTGCCTCTGTTCGTTCTCCAGGCATCGATCTTCCACATGGTTTGTGTTCGATTTTCGTTGCCCTCTGTGCAAATCGATTGCAACCTTAGATTTGCCCGTTCTCGGACCGCTACAGTCCCTTGTTCCATGCACATGGCTTCAGTCCCGTCTGGTTGTATCCACCAGCGAGCCGGACTCACGACCTACTGTGCGCTTCCAACCGCTCGTCTCTTGGTTATGTGGACTGCATCGTTGGTTGGAGCTGTACTCCGGACAAGCTGTTCCAGGAGGTACAACCGAATATAATGGAGGAGATCGTCGACCTGTGGTAGGTGATTGTGTTCGGTCTCTATATCCATTGGCACCGTGAACTCGCCTGTATTTTGTATCAGCAATAGTGTTTTCCTCAAACATTGTAGTGCCATCGGGACTGTGATGCACATCTCCACAGTTGAGTAAACCTACTGTGAACACTGAACGTCACATCTGATTTCGACCGGTATTTACATCACCATCAAACCCAAGAAATCTTTGGTTTGCTTTAAAAGTTGAATATATAGGTAGTTTGGTGTGTTGCAGAGCTTTTAAGTTGTCTTAAAACGTGTATTTCTAATACAAGCTCAGCGTCTAACTGGTTATGGGATGCACTGATCTTGTCCTTAGCTAGACTGAACTTGGTAACGCACATGAGAGCTTCAAGTGTTGATTTGTTTCACAAACAGTGTGGGTTGAGGGATCACATGGATCATCATATCCTCGGTTCAAGGTGATCATATTGCCAACGAGGTATGAAAAAATCCTGTTTTCTAAATCGCACCTTTCCCTGTTGCTCACTTGTGCTTGGTCCCTACAACCGGAGAACCTGTGTTTCAGACAACGAGATTATTCTACCACGCATATCATCTGCCAATTCGTTTGTAGCTGCGGTTAAACATGCCCAGGAAGGACAGAACAGCGCCCTTCCTAGTGAGTTCTTTCAGACCATGTTGCTAGCGGATAACGGTTGGATAACAGTGGCAAGTAACTGGGGGTCATCGGTTGTCCCACTGAACAGACCATCTAGTCTTCAGGATAGGTTGATTGTGAATTCATAGCACTGTAGTGCATTCATGTAAGATCAGCGTCCCTCCATGACGGAATTTCCTTCGCGGACACATCTATGGTACGTCCCGAACCTTTAGAACTTCTCACCCGTTGTCCTCCCGGTTGCTTTTGTAGCATAGATTGATGACACATTGTACCAGCTTACTTCCTCCATTTCGCCCATTTCAGCCGGATGTTGTCAAGCGTTTCGACTTCAATCTAGTTCGCTCACTCCTATGGGACATGTCAGTTGAGGGACAAAAGTCATCGGGGACGGAGTTTTCCGAACTGGTATCTCTTTTACTCAACCGCCTCACCAACAGCCTATTAATACAACAAGATGAACCGACCTCGAGACAGTCACTGCCAAGCCTTGGAGCTTCCACTCTAACAGCAGGGTCAGCAACTGATGCGGCCCCGACTGCCACCCGTTCGACGCGGCGCTATTTCTGGCGTGCTCGCCGGTTTCCTCGCAGATCATCTACAACTACCGCAGAGCAAAACGCACAGTCTGCAGAATCAGTCAGTGCTGAGTCGAGTTCGACTGCTTTTACTGCCCTAGAACATCTGCTTCCTCATCCGCCAGACCCCCCAGTTGTTTCGACCAGTCTACTTACAATGGTGCAACGGCTGGCTGATTTGTGCCAACCAAAGCCCACTGACGCCTTGGTACAGCGCTCAGCGCGTCGAACCGCTACGGATATCTTGCGTACGTTGTTTGCGCTTTTTGCTTTGATACCATAGATTCAGAATCAGTGTCATTGGACCAGCTCATCATAGTTTTTCAGCTGGTATCAAAGTCATTTGTGTTTGTGACGCATTATACACATCTCTGGTTAGTGCAAACTTGAATTGCTCGTTCCCAGTGCGGAATCACTGGATGAAGCCGCTCTCAAGAGCAAGGAACTTTGTACTATTAGACCAGACGCTACTTGCAAGCTTCATCTGTAGTATGCACCGTTACACCGGTAGCTGTTCTTTCACATCCACTAGAAGCCTGGAACTGTTTTGTGCGCTAGCTAATGATGAGTTGGACACGGGATATTCAACACGCACTGTTATCGAATCATTAAGTTTTGCTCTTTGTGATCTAGTTTATCCAGTATTGGCACTCTCCTGGCACCAATCGAAGAACGCCCTCTCTGCTCTTTTTTCAACTGAGTGTGTTTCTTACCATTGCTGATCTAACCACAGTAAACTAATCTCATCCCAATGCTGACAATTGATATCTTTTTTGTTTCAAGTGGGGACTGGCCCCATAATGCCGCCTACACCAGTGGACCTAGAAGAGGACGAAGAACCTTTCTTCACTATCGGAATAGGCGAGGATGCAGAGTTTCAGATTGGCCTACACGCGACTACCTTCATAGCTGCTGCAAACACACTATCCAATACATCTGCCGACTCAACAGATCGTCCCAACCACGCTACCAGACAGCGTTCACGCAGTGGTTCTAACAACTGTCCACCTGCTCTGCATGAATCTATTGATCGATTCTACTTGGTTCTCAAAAGCTTCTACGAGCGTCTGCATGCACTTGATTCACATCTGCGTGGTGCATATGCAACCGCTTCGAATTCAGACGCACAATCGAGCATTGCCACAACATCGTCGGACGCCAGAAGTGGTAACCATCACCATTTGCTAGCCCGGGCTGCTCTTGACTGCGTTTGCACTCGGGCGCGAGACACGATTCTATCAGCGGCCTATGAATGGCGTGCTCTACGTCACACCATGGCCTATACCTTAGTTTCCTCAGAAAGAGTGAGTTCAACTGTCGTTTTACTTGGATTATGTACGGGTGTGGATATTCTTAAGTATGATGGCGAGATGGTCTAAGTGGTTAGAGCGCGAATTTACTGACCGGAAGGTCCGTGGTTCGAACCCGACCTCTGCCTCTCGATCTGCGCTGTCTAGGCAACCTGGCAGTATCTCAGCCCCCGTTCTCCCTTCGGTTAGCATGGCAGCTTGGTACCGGGAGCGTGTTACAGCTGAACGATTTTTTATTTTCTTCGAGTATCTAACCGTATTGCCTTCTGATCCCTTGTGGGGTTGACACGAACGGCTCAGCAAAATCGTTGGCAAATCTGTTGGGTCATTTCGAATCTATGTGGTATCTGTGTGACGCGAGACTATTCGGCTGACAGAGCACTCCCGCGTTGCAGGTTCGCGTCCTGCCCGACGACATCCACCCTTTTGTCATATTTCTGTCCAAAACCTTTCCGTTTTGATCCAAAACATTCGGTTTTTTGCAGCATGTGCATATTAAGCCTACCTTATAGCTATAGTTTCCTTAGGATTCATATTGCCCGTTATGTTTTCAGGATCGCGTGATGTTCTCATAGCTTAAGCTGTTCCGTCACACAAACTAGACTGACTGGGTTCTTCGTGTTTAGAAGCATCCGAACATCGGTATGCCTAACCTTTAAACATGGCCAGACTACCTTGCGGTGGTTGCGAACATCGTCACTTGGTTGCGTGATTGGTCAGCGTTCGGTGGTCGCTCTCTCGTAAATATACAAAGCGGCGTGCAGTTCCAAACACATTGACATGGAGCGACTAGTTCTTGAGTGCATTGGGTTTAAAAGCGCAGATGCTAGAAAAGCACATAAAGTCGCCCTTGTCCCGGAGGTAAGGCATGCTGTTTATTGATACTTTACCGATGATTTGTTTTCTTTGAGGCAAGGAGCACAGCTCTCTAGTTCCTCGGGTCTGGATTGCGAATGTAAGTACTGTAGTTTTTTCGAATTCACACGTTCTAAAATTAGTTGTTTTCTAAAAGGGACTTTCTCTTCATCTGCTAGGTAGGTACTTCTCGAAGTGGGTGTAGATAAGCGAAGGGGTGATAGAGTTCTGTTTATTGTCTTGTGTACCATGTCCTCACTTTTCTGCAACGTCTTGTCGTAAGTAATTTGTTAAAGTGAGACATTGTGAATACCAACAAGTACCTCGGATTGCACATCAGTACGTACTAAAGGTATGGGGTGGGTATTTCTATAGACGAATTAATATTTGCAATTTTTTGTAGCTTACAAGTACAAATTTTCCAGGTTGCTTGCTCCTGTATGTAGATTTGTTGATATTATTTTTTCGGATACACGTGCATCTCCCCTTTTAACTCTGAAGGCGCCCCCTGATCGAAAAAAAGCCTAGGATATTTCATACGAAGGCGCGTGGTCGTAATACGGAATTCCAAATCACTCATATGAGATCCTATGGTTGCCGTAAATTGTATGTAAAATTAGTCCGTTGGTGGAATTTCCTCTGACAGGCTACTTGATATCACCTTAGAGGCAGTAAACCGTAGATACTAGCAGTAATATCGCCGTTTATAAATGGTGTGAACTACTGGGTATTCTGAAGCCGGTGCCGAAGTATATCACCTGAATTGGCGTCACGGAGCTGTGAATCAAGGGAAAACCTCAAATGTTTAGAGTCACTTACATTGGTTGAATATAGCTCTCATCCGTCATGCCATGCAGCTAATTGAACCTGGCTCCCTCGCATAAGCGGCGCGGCGCCATTGATGCCCAGTCACTACCATCCTGCCCAGCTATGAAAGTCGGTAGTGAAACTCGAGCGAGATGAAACAGTGTGTCTTATTGAACGTTTCGATGATTACATATCCTCTGGACAGGACGTTTTGCGGAGTGGTTCCTGTTCACGGTATTGTCGGCAGTTCTCAGAAATGAATAAAAATGAAGTATTGTTAGTTTATCCAAAAAAACACTATGGCATCGTTGTGACTAATCGACTGATGCCGTTACTTACATCACTTTGGGGCGAGATAACCCAAGTGGTTGGAGCGCGAATTTACTGACAGCAAGGTCCGTGGTTCGAATCCGACCTCTGCCTCTCGATTTTCCCTGTCTAGGCTTGGGCAACCTTGGAGTATCCCAGCCCTCGTGCTTCCTCCGGGTGGCATGGTAGCTAGGCACCGAAAGGGTGCTACAGGGTGAACGATACTTTTCTTCACGTCACTTTACAACGTACACAATTTGGAGCAACATTCTCGTAGGAGCGTGCATTTACGACATCATTTTCAGGTGAAGACTCGTATTTCTGATATGGATGATATCTACTGGATATTAGGCTCTAACGAATACAAGACTTACTTGAGGTGCAATAAGTGAATCAATCTCATCGTGCTCTACTACCTATGATTCCATTCGCGCCACGGCAAAGTCATTGCATTTTTCTACTTTTTTTATCGAAAATCTTGAAAACACAGGAACGTATGAGTCGGTTGGCATAGATCATGCACTCCGTGTAGTTGAATGGTTACGTGAACACCGACTGTGCATCATCCAAAGGATATCGACTTCGGAGCAGTGTTGTTTGTGTCTTCTAGCATATACATAAGTGTACATGTCAAATGTAAGTTTCCATTTACTACAGGAACTGTCCCTCAACCGCCGCCTCAGGTTCATATTCGTCAACAGTATCACAGAAACTAGGAGACACCAGATTCGCAACAAGTGCTGTGGTTTGTTAGCCGTGTCCTGAATGATATTCTCACAGCTGAAGGTGATGATGAACAGCAGTTGGATAACTTTAGCTGAACTGTACATGAGAATGGAATCCAGTATCAGGGGTGGTTCTCGTTCCAGTAAATCGTAAACCAAAAAAACAGCGTTGTTGGATGGGGAAATGACCCAATGAGACGTCTGTTCATAAGCTTTCTTACTACATGAGACAGAATAGTCCTTGAGTGCTAAAAAGAAATGAATACATGGGAGCCATCCGTCTTGATAGAAGGGATACGGGCGTTTATCAGCCTAGTTATCAACCGCCTGAAATCGTTTGGAACTTTGAACCAGAAACTAAAAGCCACTTAGCATAATTTTGCTTGGTCAATTCCTCTGCGATGATGTTGCACTATCGGGGTCCTCGCCGTAGACTTCTCATTCCGCAGACCACGTTTAGAGCGTGATCATCACCCTCCTTCTGGCCACAGTTGTTTATGCATCTCATATTTATGAGATTTTATTGTCTTATGAACCATTCGGCCTCCCGTGACACCGGTATGATATATCCGAGACCGTCGGTTTGGTTCACTCACCTTTGCAAGCAACCATGGGCGTCCTCCCAGACGATTGCGGGTAACATTACCAAAGTGAATCATTCCACATCTTTCGCAGACAGCCCATTTATCAGTGAAGTAAGAGATCAGGTCCTGAGCCCGGGTATGTTCAAGTCGTGACAGAATCTGTATCCTATTAAGGTAATGAAAATGAAATCTGTGCAGTTTTGTACGGTACGGTGGATTGTGTCGAGTGTCTGTGGAAAGCCATAAGGTATGTACGTGTTTCCTGATAGCTTTACCTATATGGAATTGACACAACGTGACGCCACAGCTGACCACAACTCTGACTGCTCGCCTCTGTGCTGCTGTCTCAAAGGTTTTTATCTGGTACTGCTGGCCCATCATCATTCTGAACAAACTAACTGGTTTGCGCTTAAGAGCACACTAGTCACTTTAAAAAAACATGCAGGGCCGGGTGCCCAGTGCTGATTCCATCCGTGGTCTTTTACTCACATACCATAGACGGTTAGTCATGTGTGTGCCATCGAAATCCACGACCTTTGAAATGCATCTGATTGACGCACTTTGTTGCATTCCGTCGTAGTGCGTTTCCTCCGATTCTACCGCTAACACTCGTCGGCACGGGTGGAGCTTAGGAAGGATCGAAGGCACAACATCTGCCACAATGAAAATCAAATTATCAGGTAGTTACTTAAGCAGACGAAGTCGACACTTTCGGGGGTAGTTGTATATGTCCCTAGTCGTAAGGACCTTTCGCAACTTATCGGTTACAAACTTCCGCACTTCACTCGACGACGCTCCGTATTTCAGCAGAGCACTGAAGGTACCCAACTTTTTCTCCGTTAGCCATCAGTCTGCAGGTAGTCGGTCATACACAAACTTAGTCACCTTATAGTTGTTAACAAGACGGCATGAAGTGGCTGGTAGATGATTTCTTGCCTTCTTAGACGTAACTGAATTGGGTGGCCGGCGCTTTCCGTACTGTTTGTCATTAGGAAATACTGTCAACTTGCTACCTTGTTCTGATTCCTCGACTCTGTTGCTTGCTTGTCTGTTACTTCGATAGCACAGGCAATCACAACACAAAAACGATGCGTGCATGAATACCACACAATTGGCCTTTACGTAACTGTTCAACGCCTTCTTCGAAGGCCGTGAAAGACTAAAACCAGGTACGAACCATTTTCTCAACAAACATCTCCTATCTAGTTGAGCCGGAAACTTTTTGGTTCATGACAATAGATAAGCAGTTTTTGAATCTGAAATGCGCACCGGAACTAGGGTCAGTTCAGGTAAGTCTGAACACAAGTAAGACACTTCACGGACCTTAGTGATTCGAGCATATATGCACAAGCATACTACATTTTAACGCAAAGGTTTTCTAAACACCACCGTTTCGGACACGGGTCGGTGAATGGTGGAACCCCTCGTAGTTTTCAGTTTTGTTCAGTGATATGCACAATAAGCTTTTTTCCGACAATTCTAAAAAGAATAAATTCTGGCAAATTGCACTTGGTTAGAAGTTATGTTGGTGCTAAAGGGGGACTCTAGTAAATCTGAGCCGATATCCTTTAACTGAATGTACTGCACAAGTCATTGTTTGACCTTCCCTGTCTTGTTTCTACCCTTCACGTGGTGGTGTGGAATGATCTTTTCGAGGAAGTAAGCCAGCTGGCATACAGGGCACATAACCAAACCAGCGCAACCTATGGAGTATGATCAGTTCGTCTTCTTCTGAAAACCATCCGACGTACCTCTGCGTAACTGACCAAACTCGGGTAATTCTCCGATGCTCAAACACTGAACGTTTTTGACGTGCACAGCGGCCAGGTTTCTGATACGAATAGTAATATGCAGCGGGACACATTCATGGTTAGAGACATTCTCAGACATGGCCCAGTCGCACCCTAGATGGCGCTCTAATGCTAGTCAGGTTAATGTGTTAACCTTCCAGGAGAGACACACGGGGGAAGAGGGTTTCAATCTCTTCCGGAGTGTTGGGCTATTTTCGGCAGAGTTCCATAGCAGTGGCTAAGCGTATGTTGTGGGCTATGAGAGCAAGAGCAACCTTAGCTTCCGGCTATCTAATTGGTAGTTTTCCAAGCTACTCGTGAGTAGACGCTTTTTTATAGTTTGAAGTGTATGCCTGGAACTACGTACCCATGCCTGTTGATTGCCACTGCAGGGACTAGTTTTCCTCACCTATATTTACTTTCCTGCTCGAACCACCACAGTTTCAGCCACACACGAATGCAGTTTTGATTCGGGACCGTGTTTCACTGTGCATCCCCATAGTTCCACCAACAACCCCAATGATGGACCACACTGCGTCACTTATTGAACATGATTCTGCTTACAAATAGTTACCCTTTATGAGTGTATATGCAAGGCGCGATCCATCCCTCCACTGTGAACTCAGCATTCACTGGCCGCCCCACCACTGGAGGATAATGTGCGCTATGAGAAGGGTCATTTAAGAGTTTACACGTATCGACTGGCTTACAAAGCGATCTAATTAAGGATCAGATTATACAACCTGCTGATGACCTAACCGATTGGTTGGCCTTGTTTGGCCTACAAGTAAACTGGAATATTTTTGAAAGTCATTTCCTTTGGCACAAGACGGATGATTTCGTTTTCACTGTTCGCCCGAAACTTCTGTCTTCAAGTTATCATTCGTTTGAGGAATGAATAATCAGAAGGAGCGAGTGGTTGTTATGTTCAACTCTCCTAAAGACAGCGAGAGGCATGCTTCGGTGAGTCCATTAACGTATGACAGCTGCGGCAGATTTGGCCGCACATCCCATTTGAAGTAAAAGTTATCGCTCGGTTCGGCGTGATCAAGCTATAACGATGTTCAGACGAGGAGGCATAAGCCGGGCACATTGCTGATACTTCAAGCTTCCATGACTGTGGACGTCAGTGAGACTGCTTTTCCGTAAACGAAACCATCTGACATCGCTATTACCCAAACAGACAACCTGGAATATGGAAACGGTCTTTTCGTGAGTCATGATGTAAACGAAAACGCAGTGTTAAATGAATATTTTCTCAGTTCTCGGTTGAATTGCTTTAGTCAGCCAGTCGATATTCAATCAAAGTATAGTGTTTCCGGCTGCTACACTCCCGTTGACCGAGGATAAAAAGAATAACGGAATGACAGCCACACGTTGGAGACGATGGTCCAGCTAGGTCATTGTGTTGAATTCATCTTGTTCATCTTGTTTGTCAGGGAGTAACAGGATTGTTGTCTGACGAGACCCCTCTGTCCCCATTAGAACGGTCTGTAACGCGATTGAATTAACCGGTAACGATGGATAAGTTGGCATCTGGTGGTTTGGTAATGAACCGTCAAAGTCACAGACAGGTATGTTTCGACAGAGCCATAGTAATTGTTGTGTCATCGTGTATCTTAAGGCCGTAATGCCTGCTTTTACTTGCCTTTCGATACTGCATCCACGGACACAATTCATTACAATCAACCCCGACCGTTTTCTCTCTGCTTTTTCACCTTACTTTTTATCGGGCCTTGGATGTTTCTGGATATTTTCTGCAGATCAGTAAACGCTTTCGGAACTACGCGAGTGCAGACTGTCTATTTTGCTCCTTCCTATTTTTGATCTGGTGAAAGCCTCGCCCAACTATTCATATTTATTAGCATTCTTAACTGGAGCCACCTTTTCGTTTCTTTTCTGTTATCCTCACAAGGCTTTGCGTCAGAACAATCCTCGGGAGCACTTTTTCAACGGTGGGCTTGCGGAGCGGCGCCTACATAGTTTGGGTAACGTTATACAAACTTCTCTAGCTGCCCACAGCCGGCACGCTTTGGTTTCTCGTGGATGCTATCCAACTTGCCAACAAGGCGAGGAACACCAATTCTGCTGGCCTCAACTCCGTGACAGTCCCACCCAGTGGTGGTGGTGGGCTTACTGCGTACCACTTACAGTCTCTTCGTCAGACGAAAGTTAGTGGTTTTGCGGTCTTCTGTTTTCTGAATTTCCATGTGTGTATACTTGCGTTTGAATCGGTAATGTTTTTTTTCGTTTTTTAGATGTTGATCATGTTAATCCACTTGAAAAGGTGTTATTACACAAAGCTTTGTGTGTACGTGAACAGCTATTCTAACCGTGTGTGTGTTCAGTGCACGTGGTACTGCACACAGACCAAACAAGCATCCAAGACGTACACAAAAATGCTGAAGATTATTTGGCGATGTGAGGAGGTATGAGAATTTTCAGTGAAAATTCCCTCCTGTAAGTGAAACCAATCTGTAAGGAACAGCCGAGAAGCACTGTACAACTGTCTCTTGTTTATTTGGAATCACGAATTTACAGGGAGATTCGAACTCGCAACCTCCCCGCTAGTGGTTGAATGTGCAAGATCACCTCTTGTAGGAGTTCTTTCCTCTGAGAAGCCGTCACTCGAGAAGCAGATCAACGCATGGCCACGTGATTTGGATTCCGTGATTTAAGGATGTGTAAATTTGGGTAAGAGGTAAACACACCTGTCTTCAACTGCTATCTGGGAGGTCGCTATTTCGAATGACTGTAGAGGTTCGTTAGATGCGCACTGCTAATGATTTTCAATGGGAATGAAACAACTGTACGGTGCTGTTCGGCTTCTCAGCACCGATTGGCTTCACCTACAGGGCGAGGGCACCATTGATAATGTCGTAACGGATTTGTGCCAGCCAAAAAATATTGTGTATTAGGCGACCCTGGCGGAAAATCATTCGTTCTCAAACCATTCTTATGTCGCTGTTATTGACAACTGCTACCTTTGTGGATGGGGACCATTTTGTCAACGGCCTGGACAGATTTGAATGAGTTACGCAATCAATGGCGTCCCCTCATGAAATCTATCATCTCCATTCTAAGCTTGTTGGATTTTTAACTAAATGGAGTAGCTAAAGCAATTCGTCATCTATTACCTCTTTAAGTGATCGCCTCTGAATCATGACTATCCCTCCCCGTTTCTACCATTTTTCGATCGATAGATATTTTGTTGCTGTATACTAATTGAATGAAATTTGAACCTGTTATCGCATGTTTTGAGTGGGGTGTGGTATCATCTGACTAGTCCTCTGGATACCGTACAACGGGGTTATTGATTTGTTCATACTAAGACATGGCTTTTGCAGTCGTTTTATCTGCCCTTCTTGTGGGTGACGGAGACCAGCAAGCGTGGCATGCACAACATTCTTGACGTGTTGTATGAACTCGTCTATCGAACGGTTTCTTCAACAAGTGACTTCTTGCGCAATAAATGGACAGCTGATGCGGTTTTCTACTTGACAGGCTCGAAGGACTTGGTGCTACTGCTTACCACCGTTTCGATCAGCTAATGAACCCTGTTGATATACAATGTTCCAGACGTCTCTACTTGGGTCTACTGTGTTAGACAATGTTGCTTCTTACAGTTTTCGAATGTTTATTCAACGCGGTGTTCTATCGTTGAAAGGTATTGTTACATCTTGGGAGAGATTGAGCTTAAAGGTTTACGTAAATTTCCAAGGCATTAGGGCTCATCATCTTATAAGAGTTGAAAACGTCATATCCTTGAATATTAATGTGCTTCGTTTGTCATTCTTTCCATGAAGATATGACTGCTGTCTATTCTATCCATCGCCCTAAATGCGTCCACCTTTATAAACTTTCTTTGATTAAAGTGGTGCTGTGAGCGAAATCTAGCTAAAAGGGCGAATGAAGACTGAGTGTCAGGTTCCAACCATCGAGTACCAATTCGACGCTTATAGTTATTTGGGAAAAAATCTTAGCTGCTTCTTTAAGTGTTTCGTATCCTGAAAACTGCCTGTATGCAAACCTCAGATCACGATGACACGAAAAAAAGTTAGCCAATTGTCAAGAGGATCCCAAGGTTGGTAAAGATGCTTTTTTCTTTCGTATATGTATGTGATAGTTTTGCTTCACGTCAGAAATTATTAACCTTTCATTCTTCTGTTTGTAGCATGTCCTCGATTGAGTACACCTCCGAGCATACTTCATGTAGCTGAGCTTTCTATGCGCGTTGCGGCCACCGAAGATGCACGATACCTGTGGCATCTCTTGGTACCACAGCTCACCTCAAACGTGTTCATGCCAGTTCCGTCGGACAACGTTTCTAACGAGGGAGCCCCACCTACTGGCACAGAATCTGTCGACTCGGGCCCGTGCATCTCCGATCGCCTTGTATCTCCGTCTTTCCATAATGGACCAGTTAGTCTATTGTGGGAGGTAAGTCACATGTTATATTTATATATATATATATATATATGCCATATGTTATCAAGTTTCTGTCGCATCATTTTTTCTCCAAGTCATTAAGCGCCTTCTGCACAAGATGGCAGTCACATTGCATACATCCACCGATATCCGACTAACCGTTTATCATATCTACCGAACGTTTTACGCCGATTGCGGGTCAGGCATCTGTGGTAGAACGGCCCTGGTGCATGGTTTCGATTCCACACATTCCACTTGCTTCAAATCCTCTTTCACTCTACCCTACAAACATTAAGCTCAATCTCCTGTTTCTTTCGCTTTCTATCGTCACTCAATACACTGTCTGTTTACTGCGTTTTAGGTGGACATAACGTTTTTGTTCCTCAGCCTACTCCATCTTCGACCAGGATTGGAGGAGGACGGTGTAGTTTCATGCCAGTGTGAACGTGATGCGGCAGAACTCACAGCCCAGATGACTTCAGAGACCGGTCCTGGTGCCTTGGGTCCCACGCTACTGGCCTGTGACCAAGGCAGACCTCGGCAACCTATAGGAGATGCACACGACGCTCATCTTCTTCGTCTGTGTTACACAGCCTTGTTAGTGCAAGCACTTTTGGCATGGATGCCTACCGGTGACGATACGTCCGCGGTATCCGAGTTGTACCCTCTATTTGATGATGTCCAAAATCCCAATTCAAACTTAAGACATCTTGGTTGGTATTCTCTGCAGGTATGTTTTAAATTTTGCGATTTCCGTGTCCCCAGGACCGTCTGTGTGTCTGTTTTACTTCGCCTGCCATCACTGGGTGAATTTTTCCCCAATCCACGGAAACTTTTCTTTCCTACGCCTTGCTAACTCGTTTCCAGAGTGATTTGAGATGATCGCAATATTTCCAGTTACGTATCCCGGGGCAAAGTTATCCAACGGTCACATGGTGGCTTGGTGCTTAATACTGGCACCGTTGTCAGAAATAGCCCTTTTGAGGAAGATGTTGGTAGCTCAGTTAGCATAGATGTTCATTGGTTTGTTCGCTGGGCTGGGCAATTTGATTGCAAACGATTCCCCAGTAGCCGAGTTCATTTTAGTGTGTGAGAAGCTAGAATGTATATAAATCAACTTTGCGTAGACACCAGACGCGCCCTAGTAAGTGTCGTGGTGGCCGAGTGGTTAAGGCGTTGGACTAGAAATCCAATGGGGTCTCCCCGCGCAGGTTCGAATCCTGCCCGCGACGTCCCATTTTGAAAACTGGCCATCCGAATTCGCTCAGCCGCANGACTCACAGCACGGCTCCTAATCAGTAACTTGGAACACTCTTGTCCTTCAGGTGTCACCGAGCTTCTACCGCTCCTGGCGTACTTCCACCCGCGCTCTTCAAAGATGCAGCTTAGATCCTCATTCCTAAGTTGGTGAGACGAGTTGATAGTGGTGTCCAAATGGCGCTTGCAGTGAGTGTGGCAATCCTAGAGGAATTTGCTTAACCCCCATTATAACTACACTCATTTTTGAAGAATAGCGGAAGCTCATCCAGCCTTTCGACAAGTGTTTCGCCCCAAGCAAGGGGCCAAGTCCTGCTGCACGTCCAAGGAGTGACACTGAAAGCTGTGGAACACTTTGTGTATCCCGTAAACTGCGTGAACTCTACTAACAGTAGTGTGACAGACGAAGAGGACGCGCCAATCTTGAAGGCCATATTCGTGTTTGCCAGTTTATGTCCCTTGTGGCCTCAAAGGCCAATCAGGCTGCACCGTAACTGCATCGTTCTACGGCTGTTAGGTCTGGCCACTTTGGGCGGAGGATCTGAGAGATGTGCAAGCCTTTAACCACCAACGTCACACAACTACACCTGGAGCCGACTGTGATGGGTTGTTTAGGAAACGGTATTTGGTGAAACAGACGATATTTCGGTAGAAGAGTACATCAAACATTGCAAGGAAATGTGGTTGAACAATGTGTTGCGCATGCCAAGTTACCGACACGAGCGCTGTTTCCGATGCCTGCTTCGGAATGGCAGAAACCTGGTGGTGAGCAGAATTTGACATGGCAGACAAAAATGAATGACTTTACGTAAAGTTTGGGTATCTTTGGTGATGTCCGCCCTCGGGGTTGGGTTCCATGTCACCCTCCCTGTGCTTGACAGGAGACACTGAAGTATATGGTCAATTTTTACCTAGATTGTCTGAGTGCTGGAGGTTGTGCGGCGGTGAATCACCGGTGTTCTCATCTAGTGTTGCGGTCAGTGATGATAATGATGGTTTAGAACGAGGAGAGGAAAACAAGGCGACAAGCATTTTGGACCAGGAGTCCGTCCGTCGGCCTGTCTGGGTGCGAGAAATCCTCATATCATACCTCCCCCCATGACCGATCTTCGCTCGGTTCCAGCTATCCACATCCCGTCTTTTTGGTGATGTGCGTATCCTGGTATTTTCTGTTTCAGCTATGTAAGCTCCGGGCTGCTAAGTATCTTGGGATTATGAGGGTGATTGGACTATACGTCGTTCGTATTGAGTAAGCAGTACGAACAGACGGATGGGGACAGTAGATTCTATATTGAGGACTGGTCGTATGAACAAACATCATGAATTGAGCATAACTACAGTCAAGAATAGCACAATCGGTAGGAACGGAAAAGAAGGCAGCAGGTCTTTCTGAAAGCAATAGCGAGTAACTTCCAAATGATATCCACGTGTACAGTGTATAATAGGCCTTGTACAGATATAGTGTCTCGGAAGACAGTTAGTGCGTTCGGGAGATAACGGAAGCTGTCTGTATCGAGGGGATTTTGCACAAGTTAAATATACCCGCGGTCTTTAGTTGACAGCGTGGCGCAGCAGCATATGCAGCGTCTCAACTCGGAATGCATGGTTAGGCCCGTTTGAAACAAAATGTTAGTGACAACTGTTAGGCGAGACGCAATACGAACGTAATATAAAATAGGAAATCCTGGAGAAGCCGGGTCGGCCCTGGTGGATAACGCACTCGTTTGCCATCCTAGCAGTCCCGGATTCGATTCCCGGACGGACCCATCTTTCCGTCGAAGCAGACGCTCAAAAATAGGTACAGTTGGCATAAAATTGCAGACAACGAACTCTTATCCTAGTGTGTAAGCAGGTGCAAAAAAAACCTGGAAAACGAGAAGCGAGGAGGCGAAATAACGTTACAATAAAAAGGCTAAACCATGCTACTCATGAGTAACCAGATCATATAGAAAAAATAAGTCGTTGATTCGCCGGAGGAATGAGCAAGCTGTATAGAGTATCTTGTGATAAGGCGTACAGTATTATAGTACAACCGTCTTCAGGGGACGTCCTTGTTCGCACAAAACGGTGCGTCATTGGACGCAGATCCAATCATGCTACTGGATTTGTTGTCGTGGTAATTGTGTTTCTAATTGGGTTGCGTCAATGGTCACTAATTTTGTAGAGTTTTTCCAGGCTCAACAGTGTCTTCCTAGTTCATATATCAGAAATGCAGTCCTCCGTTCCTTATGGGAAAACACTTACCTCGTTCGATGTTCTTCGTGTCGCCGAGGCAAACATTGTCAAGTTTTTCCCCGTCATGTTTACTGGCGTCCTTTTTTCTTGCGTCTACCATTGGTTGTCTGTCAGCTGTATAGCGTGTCTCTCCGCGAATATTTTCTTTACGACCATACCTATCATTCAAGGTGATTCCTTCTCTTTGCAGCTTCTTCAGGTTTGGCAGCGTTTGCGGCTATTGGCCGGTCTACCACCTGTGAATGGCGTATCTTCGGACGGTACGGGCAATGCTTCTCAGTCTCTGATCCAATCCTTAAGTCTATATTTGCGTGCCAGTTGTTTGCCATTTCTGCGGATCGCGGCGTTTGTGATCCACCAAATTACCGGAGTTCCCGTTCCCACTTGGCTTCAGCAATCGGGTGACAGACCGGCAGGTTCGTGTCTCGATTTGTTTGAAAGTTTATGTCCCCAGATTAACTGCGTCATTACCTGTTCAATTCACTACCGTACATTTTGGTCATTTTCTACAGACCGCCCCGATGAGTATCTTACCCTGCTGACCTACCTGGATCTTCCTCTGGGACCTACAGATCTCATGGTCATTCTGTCTAGTCCTCCTGCAGAGTCAGTTGACAACAGCCTATCCACGGAATCCCTGCGATCAATGCTGGACGAGCAGAATGTGTCCACCTTGTCTGAATCGCTTTGGCTTGCACGTCTCATCACGAGTTGGTGTCTGGCTGGTCGTGCTGCACTGAGTCGACGTCTTTATCGTCGTCTGCGTTCTCATTTTGTTAGTTCTTTTCGTGATGCTGAAGCTGATGTGAAGCCCCCTTTCGCTGCGCAACCATCGCTCGACTGTCCCCTCCTTCCAAATCCGAATTTGAGAATTCCTCGGTTAATTCACCTTCCTCGAGAGTACACATCGCTCCTTTCGCTTACTACCGACTTTCAGTGAGTTACTCTGGTGTGTGTGTGTGTGTGTACGGCATTCGAAGATGCTGCATCTAAGTATATATCTATTCAGTGTATGTTCACCCAGTTGCGCTCCTGTTCTTCATGGGAGGAAGTTCAGTTCCTGCCACATGACGATAGAGGTGAATGGAGATGGTGGCGTGGAGATTAAAAAAACAAGGTTGATGAGTAGAGCTTATTAGTGCACAGGTAGTTATAGCCATAATACAAATCAGAAGGTGTATGTGCACTAATAGAAGTTTTTGTATGGTTGCGACACGTATGAAAATAAATACAGTGCGAGGATGGGAGCAAGTCAAAAAGGGAACTTATCGGATGCGAGAGTCCCGTGGTGGAAGTCCGGACGGCGGGAACGTGTTTTTCTCCGCAGTTCGACTGCTACACGTACTCCATGGTTGTCCGTGGACTTGTGGAGAGGTTGACGTCCTGCTCCCTACGCGCGCGCGAGTCTGTGTGTCTTGACTGGGTTCGGTTTGCCTTTATGTAGGTCCCAGTGCGTGTATGTGGGCGCGTCGGCACATGAGTGGTTGCTGCGCTGACTAGGCGGTGCAGACAATCGATGTCCGATGTGTCAGCTTAATGCGACGTGCTTGTGAGTGTGAGAAAAAGACAAGCCTCGCGATCCAGTGAGCGACTGTGAGTTGAACAGTCAAGTATGTGAGTGACTGGGCCGCTACAAGCTTTAGCCGAAGTCGGCAGCACAGTGTCAGCAGTTCACAAATAGCTGTGCACATCCCGGAGAATCACCCGAGGGAGCCGCCAACGAGTTGTTGAATAAGGTTCCTCTGTCAAACTTCTGCAGAGCCTCGCATTGTCGTTATGGAGATCAACTGAAAACATGTCCTATCATAACACACTAATCACACAGGTAGAATCTTAGCTCCCAATCGCTGTTTGGAGCCAAATAGGGTAATAAGGTTCTCCCTAAGTCTGGTTTTTAATGGATCAATATCTCTGCTATTGTAAGTGGTTTTCATGGAACTGCCAACATAGTGTTATCGAGCTCTTTCATTACAAACTGTCCGGTTTGATTGGTCAATACCCCTCAGGATCCAATGATAAAATACCTTTAATTCCGTTCTACCCTCACAATACTGTGGCAAATCCTTTTCACTGGAGGAATGATGAAATTTTTTAATTGACAACCCTGACTTACTAGGAATGACCTGGTCCATTCTGGCATCCTCGATGCGAATCTCCATTTCATCTTCGAATCGTCTGTTTAGGAAAGTCGTAGCCGAACTAGCTCAGTCAATACTCTTCCCATGGGTCGTTGTTGTGAAAAGTTTGATGTTATTGTGCAATCTACAATCCCCGTTCGAAGAATAGACTATGTTTTCCTATACTATGCTCTATGTAACGTTGCCGAGGTTCAGTCTCTCATTCTTAAAATTGATTAATTCCCTGGAAGCTAAGAACGAAGTCTTCATCTTCTGATATGAAAAACAAATCCTTCTAGGACTAACCGAGTACCTCATCCTTTTTATCCCAATCGAATGCGCAACCTGCCGATTTCCCTCAATTCTCATCCTCTCAGCTGTCACGTTGGCGGTCATGTGCACAGTGACCCCAGTGTTTGTCTGGTCTGCGGTCATATGGCTTGTCTCGTGTGCTATGGTTGTCGTCTTATCGAGCCTCAATCAGAAGCCAGCATTTCGACAGGTGGCGCAAGACGTGAACTAGTCGTCTATGACATGCAGGCACATTCACGTCGATGTCACTCTGGCTACAGTTTGACCCTCCGATTGCATGAGTGTCGGGTCTACCTTCTATCTGATCAAGCTCGACGTCTCACAGAAATGACCTCACCATACCGAGACTCCTTTGGCGAAACAGATCCCGGACTTCGGTATGTCATCTTCATCGTACCTAATCGTGTTTATCTCACTGACACTACAATCGTTCAACTTCTCTTCTCTTGCCCATCATCTCGGAGAATTTCTCAGTGTCCCTATGGTCTTGGCTAACTGTCCGGTTGATGCATTCAGTCTAGTTGTGGCCTCGTGGAGGATCTTGGCCTATTGCTTGGAGTTTCTAATCCAATCGTCAGATCCTGCTCAAGATTCGGTGATATGCTAATTTTAGTATTCATATACGGATCATTCAGTAGGTCAACGAGATCGTGGGGTAGAACACGCCTAGGAAAACACCAAGCGCACCGAGTTCATGAATGTATCCTTAACGCTTGGTCAAGTGAATAGACATATGTAACAGTACCTTCCAACGTCCTTATCACAGGTGTACATGTTATTGGGATGAGATCGACAGCAATTATGCAGGCACTTGTGTGGAATCAAGCCCGAGTCGCCACCATCCGTCCCCATTTTCTACTTTTTCACCTACGGTCTTCTTTTTTCCTTTACCTAAACTCTTTGATAAGTACTTCACTCGCTTATTGTTAGTAATGACCAACTAAACATTCGTTTCAGACACGTGTCCATTTTCCCTAGGTTCAGTTTGCATGAAAGCAGCGTATTTTCGTAAGGGTGATGAGTACTAAGAATTCGGATCGGTTGATTGAGAGCTTTTTTACTTTTGCCTATTGTTCTTAATCGATTCATTCTCCCTTGCAGTCGGGGCAACCCACTTTTTCTGGTCGATACGGAATACGAACGTTTGAACCAACTGTGGTTGAGTCACCAGTTAGCTTCGAGCACTTCGTCCGAACTCCTCACACCACCAAGTTTGGAAATGGGCATGATCTGAGTTCACAACGCACACCTTCCTCTCACATCCTTATCATCCTTTCCGGTCTTTCTCACTGCACTTTGGGGCTTTCTTCTCTGTGTCAGGTCACTGCGACCGCCATTGGTAGGCGCCTCATCTGGTTCACGTGATTGGCTCGGTTTCGTCAGTCACATCAATTACCAGCCCCCCCCCCCCCACAGCTCCTGTTCTATTCAGGTATCACTTCTGAGTTCCCCGTTAGACTCCTCCTCCATCGCTATCGCACATCCTCGTGTTGGTCTGTCGTTTACAATCCTTCCATTGACCTACCCCATTGCCCTCATCTGCCCTACCTGGCACAAGCAGGCTGTTTGTGAATCCTATCGGTTAGCCCGTTCTCTGTCGTAGAAACTCCGCCCCCGGTCATCTCACAACCGAACGTTCTGTACCGATTTGCTCCTGCTTTCCCTTTGTCAGGTAATCTGACTTTACCATGTAGACGAAGGCGTTGACTGTACTATGTACATCCAATAAGCTGTTTTCATGCGTGTCTGGTTCACTTGTTTCTTACCTTCCGATCGATGGATATCGTCTGTTTCACGATGCGGTTACAGTGGCCGTGGGTGATATACGCACTAACGGATGGGATAAAACTGCGAGTAACACAGTCTAACCCTGTAAGACCTTACTGGAATTGTTGGGAACTCCCTTGTGAAGACGACTTCCAAATAAGGATTACCTAACCATGTGTGTTTGCTGATCAGCCGCTCTTGATCAAACAATTAAGTGTTCAACCGCTGCTCGGAAAGTCGCGGGTTCGAAACACTCGTGAGAAGTGCATTGTTGATGACTCTCAACAAGGATGAAAGAGCTGTACAGGGCTTCTCGGCTTTTCAGCATAGATTGGCTTTACTGACAGGATGAAATCTCCTTTGAACATGTATCCGCCATTCATTCGCCATCTACGCATCCCAGTAAGCGCCGTTCATCTGCTTGACTTAGGTAGATGGCTACTAACTTTTTGTGGACACATTATGTGTCCTTGGACTGCAACTGGTGACAGAGAGACTTAGCATGAGAAACTGGATCTACTAAAGTACGACCACCAACTGGCGGAACTGCTCCAATCCGACTACTTGACACATTCTTGTATGCTCCTAAACAACGTGTACACGTGATCTGGTCGTGTATACGTAAATTCTAGGTTTGATCAGTTATCAGTGCCATCTGTTTCGACAGCTTTCGTTCACTGGCTGGCACTGTCCAAAGGACGAATTGCTGTGATCAGCTTATAAGACCATTTGGGCGTGCTGGTTTTTCAAAGGGGTAAGACCAATAAAATTGTTCCGTATTCATTCTAGTCCGGCTGTTTGACCTTGCATACCGTGCTAACGTGCGACATCTGCCCATGTGAGTACGTGACTATTTTACCCAACAGGTGTCTGACTACTAGAAATGAAGACCATGAGTTTGTTTCACTAAATCAAAGTGGCGGCCACACCCACCACCTGGTCCTGATTGTTTACTGTGCCAGAGTAGCTGTTGGTAAAATTGTGCGAAACGGCACGACATCCAGCAATTTGTCTTTTTAATGTTCAAGTCCAAAGAAAATCATCGAAACCAATGCGCGAGATGCAAGTCTTAAGCATCATTAGGTTGGAACATCTCAACTGATCTCGATGGAATGGTCTTGTAAGTAGGGGAATCGCAATGGATGCCTTTTTGTTGGTAATGTAACATATGACCAATGTTCTTTTTTCACTTTTCCCTTCTGTTTTCCACGGATCTAGGTCAGCGTGTGACTGATCCGTGAGGTGATCAAGCTACGGCTGGGCTGCGAATTCGAGGTAGGATAGAGCAACTGAAGAAACCTCACTCATTCGGAAAGTTTGAAGTGGGCCTCACCTCTCATAGACATCGTGATTCATCGGCCACATGTGTATGGCCTGTCGTCACCGCGCTTTATTGGACTTACTTAACTCACTTGACAGTCTCTAAATCTCATGCCAGGCCTATTACTGCCCTTGGGCTCGAAATAGCTCAGTGGTTAAAGCGCGAACTTACTAACCGGAATGTCTGTGGTTCGAATCTAGTCCCGGCTACTGTCTTGGCTTGGACGACCTAGCAGTATCTCAGCCCTCTTAATTCCAGCGGGTGTCATTACAGCTAGATACCGAAAGGATGTTACAGCTGGACAATTATCATTAGCATTGACATCCTTTATTTTGAGTTGCAAAGCCGTGGTGATGTGAACCATTTTGTGCAAGACCCTCGGGTGAATAAGAATGATTGCCACGTGCGTGACAACTCGGTCCTTGTTGAGGCAAGCTGTGCCAGCCAGGTATCAACTGATGAGACGGCAATTTCCTCCCAGATTGTCCTGATGGGTCAGGATGCAAATGCACTGAAACATCTGCGTTAAAATATCTCGTACTTACTTTCTCCCACGCTGAGGCATAATACCTCACAGTAGTGGGGTTTCGTGTGAGAATGGATGCTCCAAACATATTATCGAGTGCACATTGAAGTGATTCATCTTGTTGGAGCCATTCCATATTCTCTCATTTCCGCGACAGATACATCGTGAACTAGTCAACTAATCTCGAGTAAGAGACACGGAGTGAAGTAAGTTATCACGGCGAATGGAACGATGTGCACCGAATTCTGTACCAGCTTCGTTACCTTCAGTCGGTTCGGTATCTGTGGAGTTCCGACGACGAAATTCAGTCAGATTCAATCCACAAGAGTCCGTTAATTTGACGGGATAGTATATCAGTAGTATTTATGGCATCACTAATTTACTCGACTAGCGATTCTGATATAAGGCGTCCTTGCGAGAAACAAATCCGATATTTCGGGAACCCAAATGCGTGTCTTTTTGATGCTGGTCAGGGGGTTTTCTGGAGCCGGATCGAAATGAGGAGAACCTTGTCACCGAATTTGACTAGTCCGCTTGTTAGGTCGCCTCCATTCCACCATATGCCCTGAAGGCGGGGGTTCTCGATACCAACATGCGGAAACATCTTAACAGCTTTTAACCACAAAACCAGTAGTTCTTGGCCTCTTCAGCACATGACTGAAGGCTACTGCTCTCCAAGTTTGACTTAGGAAGTTTACTCAATATAACTAAGACTACTGCTATCTATTATCGATTTTCTCGCAAAATGCCATGAATGTTGTGTGCTCCAAGTGCAGGGCTAAATGGATTCATAATCAGGACTTCAGAAGCCTTAAACGAAAAATTGTTACCTTCTTTGTTCCTTTGAAACTTCTCCATAGGGCAGAATCTCAAGTTGAGCACCACCGGTTGAAGCGTGTGACTTTTAAAGTCGACTTGATAAGCTGCTAAGGACAACCAGTGTCGATATCATACACTTATGTGGGTAAAAGCACATATCAAGTACTAAGGAATCCAAGCATCTCGTGGATGACTTTTCCTTGGGGACATTCAAGATTCAGTGTCCTCTTTGCTGTTAAATGGGTCTTGTCGCTGGTCAATACATTTGAAGTGAATGAAGTGGGATGTATCCACTGTGATAGGAAGTAGGTTAGTAACTACTTTGGGAACCATAAAGTGTTTTCACTCCTGAATTGCTTGTTTGTTCGGGGCTAAAAATTGCTATCACCAGAACCGTCCCAACAAGGGCTTATTCGTGGAACGAAGTGCTGTGCATGTATGCAAAACACCATCCTATGCGTGAACGAGTGCGCTTCTTGAGTGCACAGTTAACAGCTCCACTGATTGGTTGGCAATCTAGACTGGCATTGATTGGCTCAATAGCCATACTTGGCAAACAGATCAACCGCCACCTGATCAATTGCCAATTGATTGACTTCATTTGTGTAAAGTAGCTGCTAAGTTTGTTCATTTCCTTTGGTGTTACCAGATCCTCCCCCAATATAGGGTAATTTCGTTGCCCCCACCCTACCCAAACAAATGCAGCGATTGTTATCCGCATCGCGCGTGATGATTCTTCCAAAGCAATAAGCTCGATCGAACTGGAAGTGAATAGTTGGATACCCTAAATTTCGTAAACCCGTGATTTCTGGTAAACATTTTTGCGAATACATGGAAAACCCACAAGATCTCAGTTCGAACTCTCCCTAGTGCTCCATTGCGGATGAACACGGAATCCACTGCCTCTGTAAGAGTCTCACCAACTCCGTCACGCTGGAGTATTCTGTTAGCCAAGCAGTAGATCTTATTCTACATTTCCTTTGCCATCCCTAACATCAGCTGTCTGTGTGCCCAACGACCGACGTTGCTACGCCTCACGGGTGGTCAACTGTAACTAGTTTTCTCGCTGTGTGCGCCTTATAGCCTAACATGGGTTCGTAATTTTCCATCGATCCACGCAGTTTGTTGGGTTTCGTTTAAATGGCATAATAATTGATGAGCTGTTCAACTTGTTTTGACACAACCATTTTTTATGCGTGACGGATCGGTAAATAAACGGTTGAGTGTGTTTTGGTTTACTACCGGGTCAATCGATTTGTCCTTGGTACACGGTACAACTAGCTATACAGCGGCAATAAATCGTCCGCATCCATCAGTAGTCACGTGATGCTTTGTTTTTTGCAATAACGGTGCCTTTGAGACTACTTACTATAAAAGGAGGTGTGGTGATAGAAGATGAGAAAAATATCGTATTCTTTCCACTTCGTATGCGAAATAAACATGCGTACAGGCCTCAGACCAATTTTGGTTGTATATACTGACCCCAGTGTGCTCGAATAATTCTAAATGAGTCATGCCATCAGTGAGAGCGACGAGAGTTCTGTGCATGCCCATAAGTTTATTTTTCACTTACAGTCCTGTAAAGATATTTGGAGAGGGAAGAGGGTTAGTCTACCGCAGACTTTAGGGATCAGTACATTCGCAGACTTCCAATCAGAAAAACCTGATCGAAACTAGTAGCATAAATCCACTGCATTGGTTGATAATGTCATCCTGTGTAGGACTTCAAGGCGAGAACGGGCCAAGCCACATGAACTTTGTTAGTGCACTACGTTACAAAGTCAACTAGGCAATCAGAAAGCTATAGGCACTAATAAAATATATATTGTGAGAACGAGGTACGATAATAGGTACACCTTGATGAGACAAACTACAACGTCAGGATGGAACAGTTCAAAAAGTTTGACTTATCGTTTTGAACATGAGTCCCAGTAATTCCTCCGAATTTGTGCGGACGCAGGTGGTGTTTGCTTTACAGGTTCAACTCCTACACCTGAACTGTCCTTGGCCCGGGTGTCACTGGCTCCGCGTTTCCACGCTGGGTCAACCTTTGCTGTTGTTCTCTCGTTTCGTACCCTGTGTGCGTGTTGTGTACTCGTTTTATATATCTAAGGTCGTTGAGGCGTGTGGGTCGGGGTGAACTTGTGACGTGGGGAAATAACGATGTGAAATCACATAGAGTCGCCTCGACGCTTACGAACAGGAGGTGAACTTTATTTGGTCAAGGTCGCAGGCAGGTCACGATATTGTCATGTAATGCTCGTGGTTGTGGGGCAAACAAGATGATAGGCAGTCTATGTGGATGT